GCTGATGATTCTGATGGTGATGATGCTGATGACGATTATGATGCTGATGATGGTGATGATGCTGATGAAGATGGTGATGATGCTGATGATAATGATAATGATAATGCTGATTATGCTGATGGTGATGGTGATGATTCTGATGATGGTGATGCTGATGACCATGACGATGACGATGATGATGATGATGATGACGATGATGATGATGATGATGATGATGATGATGATGATTATGATGATGATGATGATGATGCTGCTGCTGATGATGATGATGATGATGATGATGATGATGATGATGATGATGCTGATGCTGATGCTGACGATGATGACGAGTATGACGATGTGGGTGAAGATGAGTAGGAGGAGGAGGAGGAGGAGGAGGAGGAGGAGGAGGAGGACGAGGAGGATGAGGAGAAGGAGGATTTGGAGGAGGAGGAGGAAGAGGAGGAGGAGGTGGAGGAGGAGGAGGAGGAGGAGGAGGAGGAGGAGGAGGAGGAGGAGGAGGAGGAGGAGGAGGAGGAGGAGGAGGAGGAGGAGGAGGAGGAGGAGGAGGAGGAGGGAGGAGTGGTGGAGGAGGAAGGAGGAGGAGGAGGAGGAGGAGCAGCAGCAGCAGTAGCAGCAGGGTGAGGGAAGGATATGAGGAGGAGGAGGAGGCGGAGGAGGAGGAGGAGGAGGAGGAGGAGGAGGAGGAGGAGGAGGAGGAGGAGGAGTATAGGATGATAGGGGGAGGTACCGCGGCGGCCGCGGCGCCAGCCGCGAGGTAGGCTGGGGCGAGGCAGAGTGGTTCGGCGCCCGACTCTCCGGCCGCCCCGTGAGGCCTCTGCTCGCGACGTGGGACGACCGCTTCCAGGCGGGCGTGTGCGGCGTCGGCGGGGGCGGAGGAGCATGTCGAGGAAAAGGAGGAGGATAACGAGGAAAATGGAGGATGACGAGGGAAATGATAATGAGGAGGAGGAGGAGGAGGAGCAGGAGGAGGAGGAGGAGGAGGAGGAGGAGGAGGAGGAGGAGGAGGAGGAGGAGGAGGATGAGGAGGAATAATAATGATGTGACGGGGGGGGCCCCAGGGGGAGGGCAGCGTGTGCGCGGGCACAGCGGACTCCTGCGTCTGCTGCTGCAGCTCTTCCCCCTTCCCCCGCTTCTCTACCTCCTCTCGCTGCTCCTCCCTGTCTTTCTCCTGTTCCTCTCAGGAGGGAAAGAAACACACAGACACAATTAATCGTCGATTCCCAGGAAAAAATATGGGAAAATATGGGAAGTGGGGGGGAAGACAGAAACCCAGAAAATATGAGAAAATATGGAGAATCCTTTTATTTGTGTGCATTTATTTGTGTGTCCTGGGGCCCCTTCATCCTCCTGCTCCGGCAACTTCTTCCCTGGATAGGCCGGCGGCCTAGCCAGCAGGCGGCGTACCTGCGTCGCATGCGGGTAAAGCTGGGGCTGGTCGACGCTACAGGGGACGCCGAGGAGAAGGACCATCCCTTTCCTGCTCCTGCTCCTCCCTCCCTCCCTCTCCCCCCTTCCCCCCCCACCCCTCCTCCGACCTCTCCGTCTTCCTGTGCTCCCGCATCTGCTCCTTTTCATTCTGTCATCCTGCTGCTGCTGCAGCTCCTCTTCATCCTCCCCATCTCAATCCAGAAAAGGGCCTCCTCATCTCCTCCCATCCCAATCCCATCTCCGCAGGGGCCGCTCCAGAAAAGTGGTTCCCCTCTTCGACGGAACTCGGGGCCAGCCTCTCTCTCCGTCGGCGGATGCCAGCGGAACATTGGTACACGTAAGAGTGACCCTTCGCCAGAGTGATCTTTTTGTGCTGGCCCCAAGGGGGTCGGGTGATGTTCCTTTTGGAATGAACTTGACCTTGCGTCGGCACCCGTATCGCGTGATTGCGTTCGCATCTGAGCGCGTTAGGTTTGGGCCGCCCTCCCATTCAATCGACAGCAACGCATACGCGGCTCACCCTACAGTGCGCATTGGTTTCCCGAGGGGGACCCGTCGACCAGACGGCGCGTTTTCCGCCCCAGGGCCAGTCCCGAATCCCAGCCCAAATCCCAAATCGTTTAGTTTGAATATCTTTGGATGTCTCTGGATATCTTTGAGTGCGTTTGGAAATGTTGTAATCTGTTTGAACGTCTCTTTTGAACTGACGGGGATCTGTACCATTGCAAGTTCAGATATCCAGGCATATTCCTGGCCCGCGGGTGGGGCCAGTTTTGGCCATGACGCCGGGCCTGGTCAGACGTCATCGCGATGCGGCCCGGCAGTGTCAGACTTCATCGCGGTGGCCCCCCAGCAGCGTGTCTGCTTTCGCAGCGCCTTCGAATTGTCATTCGGGGCGTTTGAATCCAACTGGCGGAATTCCGCGGTTGCCTGGTGGCGCAAACAACTCTTTCCAGTGGCGTCCCGCCGATCGTTGATTCGGCGCGGCTGTACTGGCTTGCGTTGGGCCCCCACGAGCGCCCCTGAAGCAGCGCACCAAAGGTCACCCTAGCAAAGGGTCACTCGTGGAATAGAAACAGGGGTCCCAAGATGGGGTCAGTGCTGATGCCATCAGAGACTGTGGACTTGGCCGTATGCATGGGCGCCCCTTTGTCCACCTCCTCCAGCTCTTCCTCCTCCTTCATCATCTCCTCCTCCTCCTCCTTCTCCTCCTTCCCCCCCAACCCTTTTCCCTTTTGAAGAACTCCTCCCTGTCGCACCCCAAGACATGTCGGTATTGGGCGGGCCAGGCGTTTCGCTACAGATTTCCTCACCACTTATGATTCCGACGCTTGAGATTTGCAACGGCTTCACGGACGGAGGGCGGGTGGTTTTATGCAAGTACCTCTCGCCTCAGCGCCGCGTGCACTCGTTTTGAACGTTTGGATCAGTTTCGAGAACGGAAGGCGGGACGTTTTCAAAATGCGGTTCGCGCTTCAGCGCCGGGCGCATTCGTTTAAAACACTTGCATCATCATCGTGTCTTGAGGGCGGGCGGCTTGCAAGCTGTGGCTTTCGCCTTCTCGCGCCGCGCACATGCGCCCCCGTACGATTTGCAGCGGTTTCAAACATGGAGGGCGGCTCCTTTCCAACATGTTTGTGAACGACGATCAATTGGGAGGGATCATGTTGCCGAATAGTTCCCAGGTGTCTAAAACATGTCCCGACATTCAAACATGTTTAATTCAATGATCGGGTTGTCAGGGTGTCCATTGTCACGGCATCCGCAACATCATGTGGCCCTCGCCTTTGCGCCTCACACCTAATTTTCAAACTTTGCAGCAGCTTCAAGGTTTCGTATGGTTGAAGTCCCAAACATGATGTTCTGATACAGGATTGTGTCGACATAGTGGTCAATTTAATTCGACGTACTCGTCAATCTGGTTCGCTGTGTTGAACTCCCAATAATGCTGTTATGGCACGATTTAGGCTTGTGAGGACGCACCAGTCACGTTGATTCGCGGCACTGAATTCCCAGATATGGTGTTTTGGCACGATTGAGGATTCTCAGATGGTTGCCTTTTAATGGGACGCTTCCCACCGTACAAAGCCACTAGCTGCAGGTTCCTCTGCAGAGGGAGCTTGGAGGGAGGGTTTATTGCAGCATCGTTGCTGCGTCTTGGGTTTACACAGGTCCTCCGCCTCCTTTCTTCCTCCCTCCTCGTCTCTTCTTCTCCTTCCCTCTCCTTCTGTTGCTCGCTCATCTTCGGCCAGGGGAGAGGGGATGCGACAGGATGGAGGTGATGGGGGGTAAATGCGAGTGGCGGAAGCGATGAGCTGTGGACCCAGCCTTACAAATCCAGCTGATTTAAGTAGTCTCAGAGTGAGTCCACTCCTAGCTGTGTGAGGCCAGCCTCCCGCATCATCCGAGGTGCCAGAGCCTTCGAGTCGAGCCCTTACCCGTCTTCGTGCGGGACAGGCTTGTTGGTGGTTCTGTCGATGGATGTCTGCGTGTGCGTGTGCTCATGTGTCACTTCTGCTTGTCGCGGGGCAGTGCTCGTCTTTCTCGAGCTCTTAAGTGCAGCGTTTGGATGTTGTTGGTGGGTGGTGCAATGCTGAACAGTGTGTTCTTGTGGTTCACAGCAGGGAGATGGCCTCCAGGTTGCGCTGGTGCCTTCCCACCCCTGAGCTGCAGGCCCGACGCCTAGTCGGTGCGCGTTACGACTCGACTCGAACCGGGGGTATGCGGAAGACTCCCTCGATTGCCAACGTGTCCTGCGTGTGTGTGTGTGTGTGTGTGTCGTGGCAGCGACGCTGCCCCCCCGGAGGCGCCCTGCATCCTGGGTGCCCTCGGAGGAGGAGGATGAGGAGCAGGGGGAGCAGGAAGAGGGGAGAACGAGGAGGAGGAGGAGGAGGAGGAGGAGGAGGAGGAGGAGGAGGAGGAGAGGAGGAGGACCAGGACGAGGAGGACGAGGACGAGGAGGAAGAGGAGGAGGAGTGGAGGAGGAGGAGGAGTGAGGAAGAGGAGGAGGAGGAGGAGGAGGAGGAGGCAGGAGGCAGGAGGCACGGAGAGGCAGGAGGGAGGAGGGAGGAGGGAGGAGGGAGGAGGGAGGAGGGAGGGAGGAGGAGGGAGGAGGGAGGAGAGGAGGGAGGAGGGAGAGGGGAGGAGGGAGGAGGGAGGAGGGAGGAGGGAGGAGGAGGAGGAGGAGGAGAGGAGGAGCAGGGGGAGGAGGAGGAGGAGGGAGGAGGAGGAGAAGGAGGAGGAGGAGGAGGAGGAGGAGGAGGTGGAGGAGGAGGAGGAGGAGAGGAGGAGGAGGAGGAGGAGGAGGATGAGGAGGAGGAGAGAGGAGGAGGACGAGGAGAGGAGGAGGAGGAGGGAGGAGGACGGAGGAGGAGGAGGAGGAGGAGGAGGAGGAGGAGGGGGAGGACGTCGGCGCCTTCAGTCCTGGTGGCCGGGCGTCCTGCACTCGGGCGGGTGCTCACTGCCAGCCTGGCCTCCTCCGCCGACGCAGTCGCTCCAGCCACCCCTGCCCATAGTCTTAAGTCGGGCCTGTCCCCCTACTGGGGGATCTTCGACGAAAAATAGACAGTACCCCCAAAGTAATCAAACAATAATATATATATATATATATATATATATATATATATATATCAATAGTCTGGGGACTATTTTTTTGAGTATTTTTTGACCTTTTGGGGGTATTTTGGGTTTTTTTTTATTATTATTTTCGTCGAAAATCCCTTTGTAGGGGGACAGGCCCGATTTAACCATAGTCCTGGCGGTCCCCCTTGGAGGGCTTCTGCGGTCCCGGCCCACTGCTGGCGGGCCCCCCGCAGGAGGTGGTGAAGGGGCCGGCCGCTTTGCTCGGGGGGCTACGCCCCGCGCATGCCTCGGTCCTGGGCTGCCAGCTCGCCTCTGCAAGCACCCAGGCGCGCTCATTGCCGCCTCCGTGCTGGTCGGCCATCTGCCTGCCTCGTCAAACCCCTCCGTCATCCACGCCTGGATGACTTGTGGCCTGCAGCCGGCGGCTTGAGGGCTCGGCCTTGCGACGAGCGCGCGCGTGCTTCTCCGACCGTGCTACGCCCTGTAGCTGCGCGCGGGGCCGCGACGCCCAAAAGTGTGTGTGCGTGTGTATGCTTGATGCCTGCGCCTACCGACTGTTCACTTACCATGAAGGTCGCCTCACTCTTTTGCACGGTGCTCTTGAAACGTTCAATATGTTATGTTCCAAGGCTGTCTCGTCTTTTGCTACTGAAAGTCTGTGTGCTGACGGGTAGGCGCATCGAGATTATCGCCTGTTTTTCGGTGAGCTGGTAGTTCGAGCCTTGGTTTCGGCGCAGGCCCCAGGCAAATAGCTATCCTCCTCCTCCTCCTCCTCCTCCTCCTCCTTCTTCTCTCACTCTTCAGCTGGGTGCAGCACAGGCTTTCTGGGCGCGATCGTTTTCCAGCTGCTCCAGCGCGAAGGCGTCATGCTGGCCAAGCCTGCGCATAGGGGCAGCGCGGGAGGAGTGGTTGTTGGAGGGGAGGCTCTCCTCACGCGTATGTGCCGCCCCCACTTGCCTTGGCGCTGGCCCATCCAGTGCTGCCTGAGCGGACCGCAGCACTGGCGGCGAATTGCAAGATTCCCCAATCAGAGCTTGCCTCTGTAGGTGTCCTAGCGGATCCAAAAGGGTTAGGAATTGTTCGGCAGGATTTCGGTGGCCGGTGCCCGGGTGCCCGGGTGCCTGGGTGCCCGTGGGTGCCCGGTGCCCCATGATTTCGGTGGCCAGTGGCCGGGTGCCCGGGTGCCCGTGGGTGCCCGGGTGCCAGGGTGCCCGGGGGTGCCCGGAGGTGCCCGGGGGTGCCCGGGTACCCTATAGCCAAATAGCCCTATAGATAGCCTTATAGCTCTATAGCTCTATAGCCCAATAGCCCAATAGACCAACAGACCCATAGCCCATGCAGCCCATGTAGCCTTATAGCCCTATAGCCCTATAGCCCAATAGCCCTATAGCCCTATAGCTCTATGGCCCTAGAGCCCTAGAGCCCTAGAGCCCTAGAGCCCTATAGCTCTAGAGCCCTGTAGCCCTATATACCTATAGCTCTATAACCCTATCGCCCTATGGCCCTATAGCCCTATAGTCCTATAGCCCCTATAGCCCAATAGCCCAATAGCCCTATAGCACTATAACCCTATAGCCATATAGCCCATATAGCCCTATAGCCCCATAGCCCTATAGCCCTACAGTCCTATAGCCCCATAGCCCCAACACACATCTGATTGTTTTTTCTCAGGTATCATGTTTTCCGAAGGAGCCCATGCCAGAGTCTTTCGTCCAGTTGTATCTTGTGGCCCTGGGCCCATCTCGCCACGCTGCCTGGGCCGTGGGTCAGAGACCTCATGGATGCATCGAGGAGTCTCTTGGGGTACGTCTCGGGGGCCTTTTGGATGCCTCTTGGAGTTTCTTGGGGTCTCTTGGAGGCCTCTTGAGGACCTTTGGGTGACCAGATTGGCACAAGGGGGCTCGTCGGGCCACTTCTGGTTCCCCCCCTCTTGGGCCAAAACTTTCAGACGTATTACGTATGTGTTTCAGAGGTTCTTAGTCTCGGGACAAATCACGCCAGGATCCCTTGGAGCGCCCGAGAGCGCACAGGAGCGCCTGGAAGACGGGGCTCCGTGCCCATGAAAGAATATTCGCAATACTCGACACAGAGAACTCGAATGGACCCGAAGGCACTCTCCGTAGCTCTTAAGGTACGGCAGATATACCGCTCAGTCACTTTCCATTCACCGAGACGTTTTTTTGTTCGCTCTCTCTCTCTCTCTCTCTCTCTTCACATGCTTCTCTCTCTTTCTCTCACTTCGTATCTGTCTGTCCTGTTCTCTGTCCATCTGGAGGGGGACGGAGCACGGCACAGGACAGAGCTCTTGTCGATCAGCTGCTTGAGACCATGGAGCAGACTTATGCGGACTGGACCCTGACGTTCCGTATCCTGTGCGACTTCGACCCCGCTGCTCCGGAGGCGATTCGCTTTAGCCTTTTTTCGTCAACGTTATGTTCGCGAACCTCGACAGTGTCTTGTGACATCGTGTAGGGCCCGGGACCCGAACTCTTCCCGCACGACGAGGGGCGTACAGTCGGGGCCCTGAAGAAGGAACCCTTTGAGTTGGGGAGGGGCCGGCCGCATTCGACCGGATATCCCGAGCCGTGCTTGCACGTCGCTTGGTGGCTTTCGCAGCTCCCTGCGTGCTGGCTGAACGGGGGTGCATCGGGAACCTGTGCTGCGATCCAAGCGCGTGTGCCGTGCATCGTGCTGCCCCCCCTCCTCCCCCTCCACCTCCTCCTCCACCTCCTCCTCCTCCTCCTCCTTTTCCTCGTCCTCCTCCTCCTCCTGCTCCTCCTGCTCCTCTGCCTCCTCCTCCTCCTCTCTCCCCTCCTCCTCCCCCCCTCCCGTCACTCCTCCTCTCCTCCTCCTCCTCCTCCTCCCCTCCTTCCCCTCTCCTCTCCTCCTCCTCCCCTCCTCCCCCTCCTCCCCTCCTCTCCTCCTTCCTCCTCCTCTCCTCCTCCTTCTCCTCCTCTCCTCCTCCTCCTCCTCCTCTCCTCCTCCTTCCTCCTCCTCCCTCCTCTCTCCTCCTCCTCCTCCTCCTCCTCCTCCCCCCCTCCTCCCCCTTCTCTTCCTCGTCCTCCTCCTCCTCCTTTTCCTCGACATCCTACCCCGCCCCCGCCGACGCCGCACACGCCCGCCTGGAAGCGGTCGTCCCACGTCGCGAGCAGAGGCCTCACGGGGCGGCTGGGGAGTCGGGCGCCGAACCAGTCTGCCTCGCCCCAGCCTACCTCGCGGCGGGCGCCGCGGCCGCCGCGGCACCTCCCCCTGCTCATCCCATACTCCTCCTCCTCCTCCTCCTCCTCCTCCTCTCCTATTCCTCCTCCCTTTTGCGTGCTGCTGCTGCTGCTGCTCCTCTGCTCCTCCTCCTCCTCCTCCTCCACCTCCTCCCCCTCCTCCTTCTTGTCCTCCTCCTCCTCGAGTTCCTCCCTCCCCCCAAACAACAAAAGGCATCCCATTATTGCGAGAGTAAAAGGGTAAGGGTAGCAAGCGCTTGTGTCTGTCCGTGTCATGTGATGGGGCAGAAGCCTGAAGGAAACCTCCTCGCCCACAGTCTGGGAGTCGGCGCTTGCGAGAGAGGCGGGCAATGGCAAGAGGCGCTTGCTCTGCCCAGAGGCCTGTGAGACGCGAGTCAGCAGTCACAACTCATCAGCACAGTGCTGCAGGCAGCATGTACGAGCAAAACGCGAAGTGGCATCATGTATCGTCGTTGCTCAGTTACGGACGAAGGTAATGCCAGGGCGTCGCTCAGCAGCAGTGTTCTCCTAGAGAGCATGGGGAAGAACCAGAGCGGTAGCAAGCGCCACTAGGTCCACGAAGTGAATCAAGTAGCATTGCGCATGAGCTCCACTGACAAGAGCACGGCGGACATGACGTTGGGAGACAGTCGTGGTGATCGTTGTTATTCGATCGCTCCTGTGGCGTCCTGGGGTGGCATTCGCGCCAAAAGTTGCGGTTCTCGACTCCGCTGCATTGGTTTTTGATGGTCCTCGGGCCCGAAACGGGGCTACACAGTTTTGATTTTCGAATCGGTCCCCATCCAATTTTTTTTCGCCACGCCAGAGGTCGTGCTTCGTCTTCGGCTGGAGCCTGTCACATACTTAGTTTGAAGCTTGGACGAAAGGACATGGCAGCGCCCGCCAGACCACCTTGCAGCTCCTCGTGGGAGTGTGCGCAGAACCAAAGGCGGCCTGCCGTGCACGCGCGCGTATCTGCTTTCTTCGGGCGGCTCACTGCTCCCCCCAGAAGTGTGCCTTCGCATCGTGAGAGGTGGGATTAACCATGATGGAACTGACTTTGTTGACGAGAACGGTTGCGTTGTCGCTGTTGGTAATTCGTTGCCTACATGTCGGCTGTGAACAGGTCATCATGTGGCTTTCTCTTTCTTGTTCATGGTATCCATCTCATCTTGGAGTCCCAGTTCCCAGCTCGGCACTCTCGCTGCTTTGGCTGCGCGCTCGGCATGCTTCGGACGCGCTGTTAACAGGTCGTTTGGTGTTCTTTCTTGGGTCCGTGGTATCCATCCCATCTTGGAATCCTAGCTTCTCGCCTGGCGCTCTCACTGCTTTGGCTGCGCGCTCGGCTCCTCCGTTCATATGCTTCGGGGGCGCGCGCCTGCTGGCGCCCTCCTACCCTCTGGATGCATGCCGAGTCGTGTCCGCTCCCACCTCCTCTCCCTCGGAGCCGGGAGAAGATCCCAGCGAGCGCTGGCTCGACGCTCGGGCTTCTACGGTGAAATCGGGCGTGTCCCTCTACAGGAGGACTATTCACAAATAGTAAAAAAAATGGGGACGAGTTTTGCAGTATTTGTTTGACTATGTTTTAGGGTTCCTTAGGTCAACGCCCGACTGTATTCGTACAAAATCCGCCTGTATGGGGACACGCCCGACCTAACTCTACGGGGCCCCTGCCGCGGGCCCCGAAAAGCCTGGGAGGCGCCTGCCGCAGGCTGGCGGGGCGCAGGAGGTCCTCTGCGCGTGAGATCGGGGCCCGGAGCTCGGGTCGGGCCGGGCGGAAGGGCGGTGGACAGGGGGAGCTGTTCGGTCGGGCGTTGCCCTCCACAGGAGAAACATTCAAACATAGTCAAAACATAGTCTGGGAACGTTTTTATTGTTGTTGTTGTTGTTGTGGTTGTGGTTGTGGTTGTGGTTGTGGTTGTTGTTGTTGTTGTTGTTGTTGCTGCTGCTGCTGCTGCTGCTGCTGCTGGTGTTGTTGTTGTTGAACATTATTTATTCTAAAGAATAATTATTGTTGGGCCCCCTGGTGCGCGCCCCCCCTGCGCCGCCTAGGCCGCAGCTACATTTTCATCATTTTCGTGAGGAAGCCTCAGAAAAGAGGGTGTGTACAGGATCCGGTTGTTTTGTTGTAATCCGCTTTCCCTTGCAAAAAACAATAGAAAATGACATTTCTTGTTCTAATATAATCAAATTTCAAGAATCCCTTGCAAAAAATAAGGTAAAGTGGACATTCGCGCGCGCAAGACGAAATCCTTCCAAAACCTTAGTGTTCGCAGCGATTTTAACATAAAAACATCAAAAAACCAATGGTTTTTCAACAAAAAATTGTCAAAATCTCATCCCGCGCGCTCTTGCGGATTCGTAGGAAACCCAACACTTTTTAAACATTTCTGTCAAACGGGCTTTTGCGAGCAACTTTTTCGAACTTCTGCGACAACGGTTGCGCACCTGCCAGGGCCATCATCCCTGTCAAATAATACCATGCGGGACACATTCGTTTTTTCTTCGCGCGCGCACGCCGTCGTCGTCGGCCGCGGGGCCCTGAATAGTAGCCACGGTCGTCCGCATGCCACGAAGTGAAGTGTCCGAACGTCATAGGGCGGGAAGCTGGGTGTGGGTGGTGGCGAAGAGTCGTTTGGAAATTTGGTAGAGCTTGAACCGGCCCCCCCACAAAGTGGGGGTATTGCCCGCCTCCTATGAAAACCCTGGCACTGGTGAGAACGGAGTGTCCCCACGTGCTAGTAATTGTTGTTGTTGTTGTTGTTGTTGTTGTTGTTGTTGTTGTTGTTGTTGTTGTTGTTGTTGTTGTTGTTGTTGTTGTTGTTGTTGAATTCTCATTTCTGAAGAATAATTAATGATCCTCCCTCACCAGTGCATTTTGTTTTTTCTTTATCAAAGTGTGCCCCTCGACGCTCGCACCCTGTTTTTTGACAGGGAAAGTCTTCGTGCTCAAACTGGCCCCCTGACCCCCAGGTTACAACAACAACGGCTCCCGCCTGAGACCTCCTTACAATTTAGGCAGGACCCCTGCTCCCGCCCGAGACTTCCTCGCATTTTATTCAGGAATCGCGCTCTTGCTTGGGATCTGCCTTATAATTTATTCAGGAATCGCTCTCCCGGAGCTCTGGAGTCGCGCTCTCGCTGGAGACTTGCTTGCAATTTACTGAAGAATAGCCTTGCGTTGGAATTTCTTGCAATTTGCCCAGGCGCCGCGCTCCCGACACCCAGGCACCCAGGAGTCGCGCCCGTTGTGGCCCACTGTGCCCTCCCTTCGTGGCCCCGCTGTCGCCCTTCGTGTCCCCCTCATTGTCCTACGTGGCCCAGTTGCTACCCTCAGTGGCCCCATAGTTGCCTTCTGTGGCCCCGCATTCTCTGCACTTTGTGGCCCCCTCTGGTTCGCACTCTTCGTGGTCCCATACGCATTCCCTTCCTGTCCCCGCTGTCGCCCTTCGTGGCCTACTTCGTGTCCTTCGTGGTCCTGCTGTCGTTCTCTCTCGCTCTCGCTTTCGCTCGTCGTCGCCGTCGTCGCCGCCGTCTTCGACGACGTCGTCGTCGTCGTCGTCGTCGTCGTGGTCGGTCCCCTTTCCGTCCCTCTTGGGGTCGGGTCGACGGTCCGCGGCCGCCCCACCGATCAGCGCTGCCGCTGGCCAGGCCGACGGTCCGCGGCCGCCCCGCCGCTTGCCGGGGCCCGGCCTGCAGGGAAGAAAGGTATATCCCCCAAAAGGGGTTCGATCGAAGACGAAGAGGGCGGGTATCGAGGGTTTGGGAAATACGCGTTGTTGGACACTCGAACATATAAGGGCGAACAGTCTTAAAATTGTTGTTGTTGTTGTTGTTGCTGCTGCTGCTGCTGCTGCTGCTGCTGTTGTTGTTGAACATTATTTCTTCTTAAGAATAATTATTGTTGGGACCCCTGGTGCACGACCCCCCTCCAAAACCTAGGCCGCAGCCTCATTTCCTTCATTTTCTAGCGAAAGCTTCAGAAAAGTGGATTGTCACCGGATCCGGTTGTTTTGTTGTAATCCGTTTTCCCTTGCAAAAAACACTATAAAATGAAAATTCTTGTTCTTACTTGATCAAATTGCAAGAATCCCTTGCAAAAAATAAGGTAAAGTGGACATTCGTGCGCGCAAGACGAAATCCTTCCAAAACCTTAGGTTTCGTAACGATTTTAACATAAAAACATCAAAAACCCAATGGTTTTTTAAGAAAAAATTGTCAAAATGTCCTTCCGCGCGCGCTGTCCGAATCCCACAAAACCAATGGTTTTTCAACATTTATGTTACATGAGCTCGCGCGAGCTACTTTTTCTTGTTCTAACATAATCAAATTTCAATAATCCCTTGCAAAAAATAAGGTAAAGTGGACATTCGCGCGCGCAAGACGAAATCCTTCCAGAACCTTAGGTTTCGTAACGATTTCAACATAAAAACATCAAAAACCCAATGGTTTTTCAAAAAAAAATGTCCAAATTTCATCCCGCGCGCGCTGTCCGACTCCCACAAAACCAATGGTTTTTCAACATTTATGTTACATGAGCTCGCGCGAGCTACTTTTTCTTGTTCTAACATAATCAATATTCCCTTGCAAAAAAAGTAAAGTGGACATTCGCGCGCGCAAGACCAACAAAAAACACGACGATCTCAGGAACTTGCCCCAAAAATGTGACCAACTCCGCTCTCTCTGTCTCTCTCTCTGTCTGCTCTCTGTCTCTCTCTCTGTCTGTCTGTGTCATGTATTGTATGTCACAATTGCAGGATGCTGGGCACACGCGCGCCCCGAATAAGTGACCAAGTTCTGTGGGTGTGTACCCCACGCCAGTGTAGTAGCCACGGTCGTCCGCACGCCACGAAGTGAAGTGTCCCAACGTCATAGGGCGGGAAGCTGGGTTTGGGTGGTCGCGAAGAGTCGTTTGGATATTTGGTAGAGCTTGAACTGCCCCCCCACGAAGTGGGGGTATTGTCTCGCGTCGCATGAAAACCCTGGCACTGGTGAGAACACTGAGCGTTCGGGTAAAATGATTGTTGTTGTTGTTGTTGTTGTTGTTGTTGTTGTTGTTTGTGTGTATATATATAGATAAAAGAAGGTAGTGTTGAGTGTTGTTTGGTTAGTTTTCGGGTATCTTTGATTTTTAGTCCAAAATCCGCCTGTAGGAGGACACGCCCGACCCAAGAGAGCTGCTTCGTGCAGGCGGTCCGGCTGGTCCCGCCCAGAGCGGCCGCGCTCGCCCTCCCCCGAGGGCTGCTTCTCCCTTCGACAATTACACAATATGAAAATACTCTCCCACTTCCCCTGATGGCGTCCCGAAGATATCCGACCCCCCCCGCGTACTGTTTTTTACACACAGGATTCCCGGGAAACGGGTTTTCGCCTGTGTTTTTTTCCAAAATGCTGCTCTCGCTGAGGCGCCGGCTTCATTTCTGCTCCCGAATCGTTCCGAATCGTGCTCCCGCTGCAGCGTGGGCCTCATTTTCGGATCGGTGTTTGGCCTCCGTCGTTCAGGATGGCGTTCTCGCCCCAGCGCGGGCCTCTTTCTCGCGCGCCCATCCGCCCGCCACCACCGCGCCGCACCACCACCACCACCACCACCACCACACCACCACCACCACCACCACCACCACCACCACCACCACCACCACCCACCACCACCACCACCACCACCACCACCACCACCACCACCACCACCACCACCACCACCACCACCACCACCACCACCACCACCACCACCACGACAACCACGCACACACGCACGCACGCACGCACGCGCACCATCACCCACTACGCACGCGCGCGCGGAGCCACAGGTCCGCTACGACACGCGTCCGCGGATAGAGAAAATTAGCGCCATGGTAAGGGATGGGAGGGAGGGGTAGGACGTCAGATATGACGCGAGCGCACCTAGCTTGTCATCCCCCCTCCCCTCCATCCTCACCCCCTCCACCCTCCACCCCTCTTTCCCCCTTCCTCTCGCCCTCTCCCCCTTTCGGGCCAGACGAAGAAAGGGGGGGGAGAGGGAAAGGGGGGGGGGTCACGACATCTGCGGCATGCAGCTGGCTTCGGCCCCACCGAGGGGCCCACCCCTCGACACACGGGCGCCTCCGGCGCCGGGAGGCGCCGGGAAAGTCAGCTACGTGAGCTGATTCTCAAGTCCCCCCTTTGCTATCCCCCCCTTTCGCCTGGCCCGAGAGGAGGAGAGGGAGGGGGAGGGGGAGGGGGAGGGGGAGGAGGAGGAGGAGGAGGAGGAGGAGGAGGAGGAGAGGAGGAGGAGGAGGAGGAGGAGGAGAGGAGGAGGAGGGGGAGGAGGAGAAGGAGGAGGAGGGAGCCATTGGGGATTCGGGTTCGTGTGGCGGCGGCTGTCGGGTCCAGGCGTCGGGGTCGCAGCACGCGGCGCCGAGCCTGCTCTCCGTGTCGCCCCGAGGGGCGCGAGGGTGGCCGCGCTTCGCCCGTCGCGGCCTGGGCCGCAGAGGGTGCCCTTCGCCAGGGCGGCAGCGCGGGGGCGCGAGAGGAGGTGCCCGCGCGCCGCGCACCGCGCGGCGCGGTGCCCGAAGTCAGCGCCTGGGGGGCACCCTCGAGTTCTACGGCAGAGGCCGGGTCGGGCCCTCGGTCTTCGACCCCGGAGGGGCTGCCCGCTGACCCGGCAGCCCGGCCAGCCGCGGGCCTGGAGCTCCGCGGGGCTTCGCGCGGTGCGGGCTGAGGTGCCGTCGGAGTCGGCATCGGCTTCGGCCTTGTCTTACCAGCCTGGAGCATCTCCCTATCCCTATGCTGGGCACCTCCTTATCACGATGCCAATCTTAGGGATTCCCTTATCTCTTGAAGGCGAATCCCTAAGATTGTCATCGCCTTTTGGCGTGCCAATCCTAGGGATAGGGATACGTTCGAGGACGGTAATTGTCCCCTTTTGGCTTCGACAGCGGCTCGGCTTCTCGACAGCGGCTTTGGCTTCGGGCGGGGCCGGCGCAGGCGGGGGGGCGGAGGGTCGCGCCGCATCGCCGATGCATTGGCGACGCTTCGCGATGCAGAGCCGAGGCGGCGCGGCCGAGGTCGCCGGCCTGTCGCCGAGGCGCCGCCGAGGCCCCAGCCGCGTCCCTCCCTGGCCGGTTCGATGCGGCCTCCGTGGGCATGCCCTCGAGTTTTCGGCACTGTCTTCGGCCTCACGCTCGGACCGAGGTATACGTCGGTATCGTTTCACCGATCCCCATCCCCACCTCCATCCCCTTCGAGACCCCCACCGAACTACCACCCCAGTTGGGCATACACCACTGGAAGCCCGAAGGGAACGACCTATATAATCGGCCAGCGGGGCCCAGGCCTCGCCGCTGGGGATCTGGGGATCGTTTCAACGATTCTAGGATCGAGGTCGGCTCGGGGAGGGTACCCTAGTGTTCTTTGTGTTCCTTGGATGTTCTTGTGCATCCTTGTCGGGCCTGACGAAAGGGGGGGATTGGGAAAGGGGGGAGTACGAAATTTGCTGCATGCAGCTGGTTTCGGCCCTACGGAGGGGCTCATTCTTCGATACATGGCGGCCTCCGGAGCCAGGAGGCGCCAGGAAAATCAGCTACGTGAGCTGATTCTCACCCCCCCCTTTGCTATCCCCCCCTTTCGCCCGACCCGACCTTGGGGAGGGTACCCTCGACTGCTCTTCGTTTTGGCCGGCGGAGGGCCTCGTGTGCTTGAAGGATGTTTTTCCATCGCAGGTCCGACTGTATCTCACTTCGAGTTCATCGCGTTCTCTCCACCGAAGGGGCAGCATGCTATGCCGTCCGAGTGCGCTCTTGCGTACGCTCTCGTCCTCTCCACCTCCAGCGCCCTCCCTGCGAGGTGCGGGCTTCCATGGTGGAGCGGAAGGCCGATATGTCCAAGGCGTCGATGCCGCCAAAGCAGGTGCGCGCCTTGGTCTCGGCCCGGTGCTGCCGCATAGCGGCGAACTTCAGGGGCCGCTTGCCTCTAGCGTCTCAGGTCTAGCAGTGGCATAGCGTCCCGATGTGCCTGTTAGCTCACCGAAGACATAGTCCAAGGCCTTTAAGTTTGCACGACATGCTTTCAGAACGTTTCTGGCTGAGACAGCCTTGTTTTTATACACAAGGTCTTGTGTTGTAAGAACATTGTTTGGTTATAAGACTGTTCTGTGCATCCAGTTGGGTTTGAGAGAATTATGTGGGGAGCCCATAGGAATGCCAGGATGGTCGGTCCGTGCTCAATCAACTGGGCTTGTGGGGGTTCATGCCGTAGTCTACAGTCGAAGCCGACGCCAAGGATGGGCATTTGTCGTATGTAAGGGCATCTTGCGTCCTGCTGTTCTGGGCATCCTTGGCACGTTTGGGCGCGCGCGATTCTGGCTTGCGTACCGTTCCGAGAGTCCTGCGTCCTTAGGCTGCGTCCTTTTCGCTGATGTTGACTGTACGTTCCAACAGGTTCCTCCAACGTCTTTCACACGTGTCCAATTAAAAAACCAACCGAAACCATACGAGCGTGCCAGATATTCCTGTCCTCCCTCGAGCGAGTGTGAGCGAAACAACGGGTACGCGACATGTTGTTCCTCGCCTCCCTATGCTCATCCTTGGGCCCCTCGGGCCTCCATAGTGTCTCCGCAGCCCGCTCAGCCCCCTCATCTACTCCGTCGCCGCCGAGCCCCTCCTCGACGCCATAGGGGAGAGGACGCCAGAGGCTTTCGTGAGGGTCTACGCGGACGACGCTGCTTCGGCACTTCAGAAATTCTGGAAGGCCGCCCTGGGCTTGGCCGACTTTTTCGCTGCGTTCGAAAGAATGTCTGGGCTCCGGCTCAACATGGCGAAGTCCTACGATGTGGTCCCACCAAACGCAACCACGTTCGAAGCCTACGAGCGCAGGTAGGCGAACGAGGTCCCTGAGTGGGCTACAGTGCCGGTGTGCTCCTGCCGTAAGCATCTGGGCTTCTAGATGGGGCCTGGCAAAGGTAACTCTTCGTGCGGCAAGTCGTGGCAGAATTATCTGGGCCAGGTAGATGTGTGGCAAGACCAACCTCTGGGGCTTCACTGGAAAGCGAGGGCCTACAGCACGTTCGCCAGTCCTATGTTGGAGAGAGCGTGGTCCACCGCCGCTTTACTATGGGAAATTTCTCCCCCTCTTCCTCCAGAGCCCGGGGATCCCCCCCCTCCTCCGAACATTCCCCCCCGCCCCCCCCCGCTCAAACCCTCCCTCCTCCCCTCATCCCTTCCCTGGCAAAACCTCTTTCCCCCCTAACCCCTCCCCCCCCCCTCCGGAAAACCGGGGGGGGGTCACTGTCGGTTCGACCCCCCCCAATTCACCGCCGGCAAACCGCTCCAGGGTCCCCACCGCCGTCCTCACTATCGCCTTCACCCGCTGTCCCCAGCACCGCCGTCCCCACCACCACTGTCCCACTGTCCCCACTGTTCCCACCACTGTCCCCACTATCCCCACCAGTGCCCCCACCATTGTCGCACTGTCCCCATTGTTCCCGCCACTGTTCCCACCGCGGTCCCACTCTCCCCACCGTCCCCACTGTCCCCACCATTGTCCCGCTGAAAACACTGTCCCCGCCATTGTCCCACTGTCCCCACTGTCCCCGCCGCTGCCCCAGTGAGCTGTCCCGCTGAGCTGTCCCATTGTCCCCACCACTGTCCCCACCACTGTCCCCACTGTACCACTGTCCCATTTTCCCACCACCGTCCTCACCACCGTGCTCAACGCTGTCCCCACCACCACCGTCCCCACCACTTGTCCCAGTGTCCCGCTGTCCCCACAGCACTGTCCCCACACCACTGTCCCCACCACCGCCGTCCCCACCACTTGTTCCAGTGTCCCCACCGCTGTCCAATTGCCCCCACTGCCCCCACCACCGTCCCACTATCCCCACTGTCCCCGCCACTGTCCCACGGTGCTGTCCAACTGTCCCCATTGTCCCCGCCGCTGTCCCACTGTCCCCACTGTCCCCACCACTGTCCCCACCAGTGTCCCCACTGTATCCCTGCCCCATTGTCCCACCGCCGTCCTTACCACCGCCCTCACCACTGTCCCACCCACCGCCGTCCCCACCACTGTCCCGCTGTCCCCACTGTACCTACCACTGTCCCACTGTCCCCTCACCACTGTCCCCACCACCACTGTCCCCACCACTGTCCCAGTGTCCCCAGTGTCCCCACCACTGTCCCACTGTCCCCACATCATTGTCCCCACACCACTGTCCCCACCACTGTCCCACTGTCTCCACCACTGTCCCACTGTCCCCACCACTGTCCCACTGTCCCCGCTGTCCCCACCACTGTCGCAATGTCCCCACACCATTGTCCCCACACCACTGTCCCCACCACCGCCGCCCCCACCACTGTCCCACTGTCCCCCATGCTCCCCCAATTGTCCCCGCTGTCCCCACGAGTGCCCCCACCAGTGTCTCACTGTCCCCACTGTCCCCGCCACTGCCCCCACGACGGTCCGACTATTCCCACTGTCCCCGCTGTCCCCACCACCGTCCCATTGTCCCCACTGCCCCCACCACTGTCCCCACTGTCCCCGCCGCTGTTCCACTGTGCTGTCCCACTGTCCCCACTGTCCCCACCACTGTCCCTCTGTCCCCACTGTCCCCGCCACTCTACCCACTGTACCACTGTCCCATTGTCCCACCACCATCCTCACCACCGTCCTCACCACCGTGCTCACCACTGTCCCCACCATTGCCGTCCCCACTATTGTCCCAGTGTCCCCACTGTCCCACTGTCCCACTGTCCCCTCGCCGCTGTCCCCACCACCACTGTCCTCACCACTGTCCCAGTGTCTCCACTGTCCCCACCACTGTCCCACTGTCCCCTCGCCGCTGTCCCCACCACCATTGTCCTCACCACTGTCCCATTGTTCCCGCTGTCCCCACCATTGTCCCACTGTCCCCACCACTTTGCCCACCACTACCGTCCCCACCACCGTCCCAATGTCCCTACCATGGTCCCATTGTCCCGTGGAGCGGGAGTTGTTTGTCGGCGGCGAAGGGGGGAGGGGGGGAGGGGCTCGAACAGGTAGTGGCCACCGCGAAAGTTTCTTGGGCTGTCGACTTCCTTCTGCAACATCCAGTGATATGCCCTGGCGGCCAAGATCTGGGTGGAAGCGCTGCGCAATCCTCCGCGCGAGCGCTCCCGCTTCGCATGGGATGACTGGTACAATCGCATCTTCATCATGGCCTAGCCCAGACAAAGAGCCAGCTCCAGCGGCACCACGCCACGGCGGAGGGCTTGCGACGATCGCGCCCTGCTGGCGACCGAGCCATTGCCCAGGACACGGCGTGGCGGAAGGATTGCCAGCGGACGGTGTATGCCTACTTGGCGGCACGCATGGCGCCAGATCCCACGCTGCTGTTGAGGGAGAAACTCCAGAGCTGGGGGCTGGATGACGGACGCCGCCATGGTGGTCATTTTCGGCAGCGTGCAGGAACGCACGCCTGCCTCGCAGGGCCAGCGCGCATCCCACCTGCTACAGGTTTCGGGGGGCCTCGCGCCGCCGCGGGTCCAGGCAGCAGTCTTCTCGACGCTCTTCAATCGTTGGACCAGAGCGAGGCGATTCCGGGGCCGCGCGCCATGCCTGTTCGGTTGCGGCGACGGTTCCGAGAACAGCATCGATCACTACTGCCGATGCGGAGCCGTCCGGGCAGTGTTCCAGCGCAAGTTGCGCCTAGACCCAGACGTATTCTGCAATCTCCATACTTTCTTGCTGGTCAAACTGCGCATCCGCTCGAAGGAGACGCTATCCATGCTCGGTGTTGCCATCTACGCGGTGATGAGACACCGAGGACGATGCGATTTTGATGTTGCGGTCGACGCACTCGCCCAAGAGGGCGCCAAAGGTCACAGGGTGGCCTAGCGCACGTTGTGGGCGAGGTGGACAAAAAGCAACGGAGGAAACGTCATTGCCTCCTCTTCCGCCGACCTCCTCCCCCCCGAGAGTCGGAACGCTCCGGCGCGGGAGCTGGGGGGAAGTCCAGGGCGGGCACAGATCGAGGAGGCGCGCCGCGTAGGCCGGCCCAGGAGTGGCGTTCTCCCCGCCATCGCGGACTCTGGCTTCTACTATCCTTTTTCGCCTTCGTCCTTACCTCCGACATCTCAGGCCTTCGTCTTTGTCCAGGGTTTCTTTTTTAGTCCAGCATAGACCAGCGGCGCGTCGTTGAATTGCACGACGAAGTCTGGCGATGCGGATGCCAGCAGCACGATGACGAGCAGTTGCGCGGCCTGGGAGCAGCAATGCGGCAAATGGCCGCACGATAGCGTGCATCACGACGATGAACGGTACGAGGACGCCCTGCGCGACGAACGCCTGCAGCACGACGAGTGGCGCGGCCCAGAACATGTGATAACGGATGGGCTGGCACGCCTATTTCAGACACGTGCCCTCGACATCTGGATGTCCTGACCGTTATTCTTGAGGGCGCTGTCTGTAGGCGACTCCCGCGCCGACCAGCTAGCCGACTCCCTCGCCGACCAGCTCGCCGATTCCCGCGCCGACCAGCTCACCGACTCCCGCACGGACCAGCTCGTCGACTCTCGCGCGGACTCGCTCACTGTCTCCAGCACCGACCAAATCGCCGACTCCCTCGCCGACCTGCTTACCGACTCTGGCGCCGACCAGCTCACCGATTTCCGCACCGACCGCATCACCGGCTCCCGCGCCGACCAGATCGCCGACCCCCGCGTTGACCAACTTTCGAAGGCGCTATCCAGAGGCGACGGCCGCCCTGGCCAGCTCGCCGGCTCCCTCGCCGACCAGGTCGCCGACTCCCGCACCGTTCAGCTCACATACTCCCGCGACGACCAGCTCGCCGTCTCCCGCACCGACCCGCTCACCAGCTCCAGCATCGACCAGATCGCCGACTCCCTCGCCGATTTGCTCGCCGACTCCCGCGCCGACCAGCTCACGGATTCCCGCACCGACCACGTCACTGGCTCCCGCGCCGACCAGGTCGCCGACTCCCGCGTTGACCAATTCTCGCAGGCGCTGTCCAGAGGCGACGGCCGCGCCGACCAGCTCGCCGGCTCCCTCGCCGACCAGCTCACCCGCTCCCGCACCGTTCAGCTCACCGGTTCCCGCACCTACCAGGTCGCCGACTCCCGCGCCGACCAGATCGCCGACTGCCGCGCCGACCAGCCCGTCGTCCCTTGCGCCGACCACGTCGCCGACTCGCGCCGAGGGGCTGGCCGACTTCCTCTCCGACCATCTCGCCGACTCCCGCACCGACCTGCTCGCCGACTCCCGCGCGGTCGAGCTCGCCGACTCTGGCGCCGACCCGATCACCGGCTCCCGCGCCGACCAGATCGCCGACTGCCGCGTTGGCCAGCTCTCTAAGGCGCTGTCCAGAGGCGACGACCGAGCCGACCAGCTCGCCGGCTCCCTCGCCGACCAGATCACCAACTCCCGCATCATTCAGCTCACTGGCCCCTGCACCGACCAGCTCGCCGACTCCTGCACCGACCAGATCGCCGACTGCCGCGCCGACCAGCTTGCCGACTCCTGCACCGACCAGCTCGCCGACTCCCCGCGCCGAGGGGCTGGCCGACTCCTGCACCGACCAGCTCGCCGACTCCCGCGCCGAGGGGCTGGCCGAGTCCCTCGCCGACCAGCTCGCCGACTTCCGCACTGACCAACTCACCGAGTCCCGCGCAGTCCAGCTCGCCGACTCCCGCGCCAACCAGCTCGCCGACTCCCACGCTGACTCGCCCACCGACTCCAGCATCGGCGGGCTCGCCGACTCCCGCGCCGACCAGCTCGCCGACTCTTGAGCCGACGACGCCTACCAGTACATCTACGTTTGTGTCCTGACGATGACCGCAAGCGGCGCTCGCTGACATCCGGGCGTGGCGCACGCGAGTGGAGAGCAAATCTCAGACACGGATTCGGGTGGGCCTCGCAATCTACGCTATGATGCTATCGGCCACTCGTCTTGGACAGCACCGCGCACCGCGAGAGCAGCGAGCGCCCACCAACCCCATAACATTCAGAGGGGGGCAGGATTTGTCCGCCCTCCCCCATGCACAGTGCCTTGGCCGGGATTGGTGTCCTTCCTTATCCGCGGAGAGAGTAAGTCGCACCACATTTCAACAGTGGCGACGCCAGCATTGCCACCATCACCGACACCACCATCGACACCATCATTGGCACCAGCATTGACACCAGCGTCGACACCTCATTCGACGCTGGTGCCCCAGCGAGAGTCGACTTCCGCATCGGCACCACCGCCGACACCAGCGCCGACACCAGCGCCAGCACGATGTCCATGTTTGACGCGTCCTGAACACTTCATGGTCTGTGACGAGCCATGTTGCGAGGCTCTGATTGTGATTTTCTTCCTTCCTCCTTTCTTCTCCCGCACCTCTGCGGATCTCGTTCTGTGCGACTTTGTTTGTTGTGCGCGTGCATGTGCCAGGCACTCCCGCCGGGCGGGCCGCTGTTTTTCGGCGAGCCTCCAGCGCCCACTGGTCGGAGCTGCCTACAAATTTTGAAGCGGATTATGATGGATTTATTTATCGTCCTCTGGCCCGCCCCCTCCTGGCTTCCTCCTCTCCCGTTCTCCCCCCTGCCGCTGTTTTTTTGCGTCTTCCGATTGGATCCTCAGGAAGTCTGGACGATGGTCAGGGGCGTTTCGGCCGCGTTCGCAGGACCGCTTGTCTGGTTTTGTGCGCAGTGCGTTGTGCGCAGTGCGTTTCCGCCCCTCCTCGTCCTCCTCCTCCTCCTCCCTCTCCTCCTCGTCCTCCTGCTCCTGCTCCTGCTCCTCCTCCTCCTCCTCCTCCTCCTCCTCCTCCTCCTCCTCCTCCTCCTCCTCCCCCTCTTCCTCCCTAGGTTGTCTAGGTGTAGTCCTTAGCTGGTGTCCGTAAGTGGCCCACACTTTCTCTGCTCGGCGTGGAGGCTGCAGGGTTGTCTGCAGCAGCCGCCGCAGCTCGCTCGGTGCTTCCGCTTACCTCTTCCCTCCCTTCCGCTTACCTCTTCCCTCCTCCTGTCTCATCCTCCTCTTGCTCTGGCGTGTAGCTGCCCGAATTTCCGCCCCGAATTCCGGCCACTTTCGCAGGACATACGGTCTGCAGGAAACGTGGTTTCTGTTTCTAGGCGGCATGCCGGCCAGCGCCGTCACGTCATGTAGCTTAAATTAGCGTGGTGGCTCACGGAGCTGCCATCGACGGTTACCTACCATTGTTGCGGTGGGAAGAATTAGTCTCTCCACAGACCTTCAGGGGGGGCCTCTAGAGTCTTCGGGGGCCTCGCTCTGGCAGTGTCCAGGAGGCTTTGACGAAGGAGTGCGGACCGCACAAATGCTTCGCGCACTGATTCTGTTGGCTGGCCTTTTCGCCCCCCCCCCCCCCCCCCAAGACGGCCCAGGACGACCAACATCTCGCAGGCAAGAGGCCCGACACGTCTCCCAAAACTACGGGGAAGCTGGAAACATATATGCGGGCCGGGCCCGGTTGTGTTGCATGCTCCGGGCTTCCGGTTGTGTTTTTTCTCGTCGGGTCGCACCGAGCTTGAAACGGGCCAGTGAAGCTCATCTTTGTAACCATCCACTTGTGTTTCATTCCGGCCACTCTGTACGTTGTGTTTCCAGCTCTTAGTGTTACCAGCTTCCCCGTACCCCCCCAGAGAGCTGGCACGCGTGTGCCAGGGAGGAGGAGGAGGAGGAGGAGGAGGAGGAGGAGGAGGAGGATGAGGAGGAGGAGGAGGGGGAGGAGGAGGAGGAGGAGAAGGAGGGAGGAGGGGGAGGGGAGGAGGAGGAGGAGATGGCGCCAGAGCTCTTGCCGGGCATCCAGTTCGAGGCTGCCGCTCGGTCCCCGCCCCCCGGGAAGCGACCTCGAGAGAGATCCTCCCAGGCTAAGCAAGGGCGGCGTGGCCAGACCACAACCCAGACCTGGAGCAGGCGAGAAGGGGTTGGACGAGGACGAAGACGAGGAGGAGAGGGAGGAGGAGGAGGAGGAGGAGGAGGACGAACGGGACGGGGGAGAGTAATGATGATGATGCTGATGATGATGATGATGATGATGATGATGATGGTGGTGGTGGTGGTGGTGGTGGTGGTTGTGGTGGTGGTGGTGGTGATGATGATGATGGTGATGATGATGATGGTGATGATGATGGTGGTGATGATGGTGAGAAAGAGATGGAGGCGGTCGAGGAAGAGGAGGGGGAACAGGATGATGATGATGATGCTGATCATGATGACGATGATGATGCTGCTGATGATGATGGTGGTGGTTGTGGGGATGGTGGTGTTGATGACGATGATGATAACGATGATGATGCTGATCACGATGATGAGGATAATGATGATGCTGATGATGATGATGATGATGACGATTATGATGATGATGATGATGATGATGATGGTGAGCAAAAGATGGGGGTGGTAGAGGAAGAGGAGGAAAACGAGGATGATGATGATGCTGATCATGAGGATGATGATGCTGCTGATGATGATGATGATGATGATGATGGTGGTGGTGGTGGTGGTGGTGGTTGGGATGATGATGATGCTGATGATGATAATGATGATGATGATGATGATTATGATGATGATGATGACGATGATGTTGATCACGGTGATGATGAGGAGGAGAAGGAGGAGGAGGAATGTATGATGATCGTGACGCGGATTCTGATTACTATTATGCTGCTGATCATGATGATGCTGCTGATCATGATGATGTTGATCATGGTGGTGGTGGCGATGATGGCGATGATGACGGCGATGATTATGATGATGCTGCTGATGATGCTGCTGATGCTGATAATGATGATGCTGATGATGCTGATGATGATGATGATGGTGGTGGTGGTGGTGGTGGGGATATGATGATGATGGTGTTGATGATGCTGATGACGATGATGTTGCCGATGACGACGGCCAGAAGATGATGCTGCTGCTGCTGCTGATGATGATGATTAGGATGATTAGGATGATGATGATGATGATGATGATGATGCTGATGATGATGATGATGATGATGATGCTGGTGATGATGCTGATGATGATGATGTTGGTGGTGATGAGGACGATGGTGGTGGTGATGGGTGCTGCTGCTGATGAGGCTTGTGCTGCTGCTGATGATGCTGATTTTGATTTCGATTTTGATGATGCGGATACTGATGATGATGATGTTGATGATGATGACGATGATGACGATGCTGATGATTAAGATGATGATGATGCTGATGATGATTTTGCTGATGATGACGACGATGATGACGACGATGATGATGATAATGCTGATCATGATGCTGATGATGATGCTGATGATGATGATGATGATGATGATGATGACGATGCTGGTAGCGACGACGACAATGAGGATGCTCATGGTGATTGTGGTCGTGACTGCTCATGCTGCTGATGATGATGATGAGGAGGATGTTGACGATGGGAACGATGACAGGGTAAATGTGAGGAGAGGCGAATGGGAGGAGGCGGAGGAGGAGGAGGAGGAGGAGGAGGAAAACGATGAAGAGACGAAGGTGATTCTGATGATGATGGTGGTGGTGGTGATGATGATGATGATGATGATGGTGGTGGTGGTGGTGGTGATGACGATGATGATGACGATGATGATGATGATGATGATGATGATGATGATGATGATGATGATGATGATGCTGATGCTGATGCTGATGCTGATGCTGATGCTGATGCTGCTGCTGATGATGATGGTCAAGAGATGGAGGTGGTCGAGGAAGGACCAGGAGAGGTAGCAAGACAGCATGAGAAGGAGCATACATTTCAGCCTAAATGTCGCTACCGCTCTCCGCCCCGAGGTGCGCGAGCTTTGGGAGATGTGCCAGAACGATCCGGAGCGAGTGAAGGCGATGTTCCCTGGATCATCGCTAGAGGGTATCATCAAGCAGATGAAGGCGACCTCTGCCGAGACATGCGAGGGGGGGGAGAATACGTTCGGGGACGTTTGCTCAGCGCGTCGTGCCGCTGGTTCTGGCCCACCACGCGTCGGCGCGACGCGCTAACCACGTCCCTGGCCCAGTCCCCAAGCGTCAACTTGCCGAGCCTCTCCCAGCCTCTCGCCCTGCGGAGCGAGGCGACGCGCTGGCCCCTTGCAGGGCATAGCATGTCGCCAGGGCCGCCGCCGCCACCTCGACACGCTGAGCAAAATTTCCCGACGGCGAGCAGAATAATAAGAGCAATAGCTATAATCATACACATCATAATGATACCAAGAAGAAACATCTGAACAGTAATAAGAATACTACGACGACCAGTGACAACTAGTAGTAATAGTAGTAGCAATGACAGTCATGCCAACAATCGTAGTATTAATGGTCTGAAGACGGAGTGTCAGATTTAGGGGCTTCCGCCCGCGCGAACCCATCTTCGAGTCGCTCACTTGCTGGCTGGCTTGGAGGGAGCAAGCGCTCAGGTCACTCGCGGGGGCCCGAAGATAACTGCGCTTCGCGCGTCGCGGTCCGGGCCAGAGCGGCTGCCCTTCTCAAGGGGGGGGGGGCAGCTCGAAGGCGCGAGGGCACGAAGATGGTCGCCCGTCGCGCCTCGCGGGGCGCGCTCCGCGAAGCTCGGTGACCTGGAGACGTCACTGTGCTCATCTTCTTCTTTTTCTTCTTCTTTCGTATTATTTCATCTTCTTCTCCTTCTTCTCCTCTTCTTCTCTATTCTCCTTCATTTTTCTCCTTCTTCTTCTTTCTTCTTCTTCTTCTTCCTCCTCTTTCTCCTTCTTTCTTCCTCTTTCCTCTTCTTCTTATCCTTTCTTCTCCTCCTCCTTCTTCTCCTCCTCCTCCTGGCCCAGCGGGGCCTGGCAAGGGGGCGCCTCGGCTGGGGACCAGCGCCGCCGGGCCCCGCGGTGGCGCAGGGCCCTGGGCGGTGCGGGGCAGGACGGTCGCCTCCGCGGCCCCGCTGGTGCGCAGGGCATCCGGGCGCGCGCGCGGCCGCGGGAGCCGTCGCAGCGGCCCCGGGCCTGCGCCAGCGCGGCCCCTCTGGCCGCCCGGCGGCGTGGCGGGGGCGGCCCCGCCAGGGCACATCCCAGGGACGGCCTCGACCGGGGCCCCGCAGACGAAGTCGGAGTCGGCGAGAGTCGGTCTCTGAGGCCTTCTACGGAATCGCCACGGCGAGTGGTGGCGAACGACATCCGTCAATCTTCCGGCGTGAGGGCCAGGCTGAGGTAGTTTAGGCGCGTGAGGTGGCGGGCCAGAGCAACAGGTCGAATGGCACCGACACCCGCAGAGTGTTCGGTGTACAGGCAGGGCTGGATGTCGGCACTGGCGAGGAGGAGCTCGTCAACACTCCTTGCGGCAGGAGATTCGAAGCCCCAGGAAGATGGTCGGGGGCCACGGCGCCGACCGACAGGCGTTGGAGCACGGCGAGAGGGAGCTGTGGCAGCCGAGGCGACATGTATGTGCAACTGCAGGGAGCCATCCACGATGGGCTGGTGGAGGCTCAACCGCGTGGCGCGCGAGGTCCAGCGAACACTGGTGACGGACAGCAAGGGACAATACGACGCAACGGTTCGGCACGAGTCAGTTCGGCCACGGCACAGGAGCGCGAGGTTTGGAAGGGGCTGGAAACGTCTGTAGAGCAGCTGCGAGCCTCAGCAGGCTACAGCAAGCCGGTTGAACGGTCTGGTCGAGTCAGCGGATTGCCCGAGTCAGCTGGGATCCGCTACGCGGATTTAGCTCCTTCGAGTCCACATCAGGGGCTTTGGTTTTCCTCCGCCTCCTCTTGTTTTTCCCCCCCCCCCCCCTCCTTGCCCCTTCTCCTGGTCCTTCTGCTCCTCACGCTCCCGCCTTTTGGTTCGAGCCAGCGGGGGGTCGGGCAGTCGAATTCGGCGCCGCCGATGCAGCAGGGCGGTCGCCCAGGTGGCTCCGGGAGCGCAGCCGATCCTGCTGTTCACTTTCCCACAGCAGGGAGGCTCCCAGCAGGCGCACCTAGCTGGTTTCCGCTCGACTTGCTCGGAGGGGGGGCAAATTCTAGGCCTCCTGGATGGGGTCCGAGTAGAGGGGGTCGGAGGGTCCCGCCGCATCGCCGATGCATCGACAATGCGGCTCGATGTGGAGACCGTGTTGCCCTACGCCGACGGCGTTGATACGTCGCCGACGTCGCTGAAGCATCGCCGATGCATCGATGATGTATCGGCGATGCATCACTGCGGACCCCATCTAGGAGGCTTCTAAAACGTCACCAGCACCCTCAGCGGGCCACTTCTAGCAGCGAGGTCCACGATGCCTCCCCACGCTGGGGATTGGAGATGTCTCGAGCGGGGGGCCGCAAAATCAGGGGACCACACCAATAGGAACTAGAAGGAATCTCCCGCGATGGCGGTGGTAGTGCCGATCCTCTCTCTTCCTAAAACCTACCAGGAAGCTGGAACCAATTGATGTGTCCAGCCTGGGCGGTAGTTGGACGCTTACTTGCATCCAGCGCGTGGCATCTGCACGTTCTGCATGTGCTTCCAGCCTTGTGTCTTTCTAGCCTTCCGGTGCAGTCGGCGCACAGCAGTAGGGCAGTAAGGTGACCCTTCAAGGTCCAGGCCGCCCCTGCCGCCTCCACGGTCAGGAACTCTTGCATAGCGTGTCGCCCCACCAATTCTGGCTCACCACGCTTCGGCGCGACACGCTATCCACGTCCCCGTTCCCGAGCGTCAACTGCGTAGTTGTGAGGCGTCCAGGGTAGAGCGTGGCTGCCACGAGCAGGGCACACGTAAATATATTCTAGACGCTTCGCGTAATTCTACCAGCCTATCCAGAAACGTTGCCCATGCGAGGTGCCCAGGGGGCCTCTTGGAGCGTCTTGGGTGCCTCGGGGAGCCCCTTGAGGCCTCTTCAGGGTCTCTTGGGAGCCTTTTGGAGGCCTCTTGGAGGCCTCTTGGAGGCCCCTTTGGGCCGTCTGGGCGCCTCTTGGGGCGCTCTTGGGGCCATCTTGGGAGCTTTAGAGCCAGGACGCAGGCTTCCTGCTGCTCTGCACCCGGCGCGGAGCTTTAGAGCCGCTCTTGGGGCCATCTTGGAGGACATCGATCAAATAAGAGGGGAGCTTTAATTAGCGTTGCCCCTCGGGAGCCCCAAGCATCGCCTCTTGGGGCGCTCTTGGGGCGCCCTTGGGGTGCTCTTGAGCTCTCTTGGGGCCTTCTTGGGGCTCTCTTGGGCCTCTCTTGGGGCTCTCTGAGACCATCTTTGAGCCATCTTGAGGCTTCGGAAGGCCATCGAAAGTAAAACGGCGACGAGACAGAAATCATTGTTTTGCCTCCGGTCTTTGAAGGATGTTTGCTTCTTGGGTGCCTCCTTGGGGGTCTCGGAGGCCTCTTTGAGTCGTCTTGGGGCGGTCTTGGGGCCGCTTGGAGCATCTTGGGTGCTATCTTAAGGCATCTGGCGCAATCTTGAGCCATCTTGGAGGTCGTCTTGGGCTCTCCGAGGCGCTCTTGGAGCCGTCTTGGGCCATCTTGAACGCTCTAACTACCCGCGGGGCGCCCCGTCCAGGTCCAGGGGAGGGGGTAGGGGGAGGGGTTAAGACACCCTTTCCGCACGCAAGCCGTCTAGCTCACTCCCACCCGCTCTCACGCCATATAAGTGGCATCCGAGTCTCGGCATAGCCAGGGGTCGCCACTGGATGGACAGCTACTGGGAACCAAAGCGGACGCCAGGTGCTCGACGCTCGCCGCGGGCTCCACATGCGGTTGGTGTGCAATCCTTGTAAAAAACGTGATACCCCCCTGTCCGCACGGTCCAGATGCTGATGTGGGGGGCGTCAGCATTGTTATGGGCCTGCGCACAGCAAGCATCATCATGCGAGCACCACCACCGTCCCTGTCAACAAACAACACAAAGTGATCGCGGGTGGCCAGCACAATACCCACGACGTTGTCGCAACGTGCACTTTGCATTGTTTTTGTCACGGATGGTGGTCCTGCACAAAGCGGTTTCACTAAGGGTGCCCCGCAACCCCTCTCAAAAAACATACAACGTGCTCACAGGGCGCCAGCGCATTGTCCAGATTTTGTTGCAATGTGCACTTCGTATTGTTTTTTGATAGGGATTGTGGAGGGTGTTGGCAGGGTGGGCCCCGCAATGTGCATCGTGCATTATTTTTGACAGGGGTAGCGGGGGGGTTGCCCGCATGGTTCCAGGTTGGCTGCCAGCCAGGTGGGGGAGGGGGCGTTTATTGATAGGAAACAGTGATCAAGGCACCCCCTGGATAGCAAGCCGTCTAGCTCACTCCCACCCGCCCTCCCAACACATGAGTAACACCCGAGCCTGAGCATGTTCAGCGGTCGTCTTTGGATGGACAGCTACTGGGAACCAAAGCCGACCCCATGCACGCGACGTTGGGGCGAGGTGCGCCACGCGTGCCAGGCGCGCCACGCGCGCCAGGCACCCCTGGAGCCCGAGCGTGCCAGGCACGGCTAGTGCGCCAGATGCGCCACGTGTTCCGCGTGCGCCAGGTCTGCCGCAGACTCCCGCCGCGCCAGGTGCGCCACGTTCGGGGCACGTGCATGTCAGGTGCGCCTGCGCACGTGACAGCACACATCTTGAAACATGTCGGCCCCCACCGTCCTCGTCGAAAACCAGCGGGTGGGCCTGCGCACAGCAGGCCATACGCCACCACCCCCGCCGTCCCTGTCAAAAACCATTTGACAGTGATCACGGGGTGGCCGCGTATGATCCAGATTTAGCCGCGAAGTGCATTTTGTAGTGTTTTTTGTTAGGGATGGTAGCCCTCCGCACAGCAGGCAATGCGCTGACACTCCTGCCGTCCCCGTCAAAAACAATACAAAGTGCTCACGGGCCTCACAGACATGACTCAAGACTTTGCCCCAAAGTGTATTTTGGTTTTTTGATAAGGATTATGGGGAGGGCGCGTCGGGTTGGCCGCGCATGTTCCAAATGTGGAGGCAGAGTGCGTTTCGTATGGTTTTTTTTACAGGGAGGGGGGCGTCATGGTTCCTGGTTGGCCGCTGGTCGCATGGTAACAGGGAACAGTGATGAACCCCTCCCAGAAGGGGAAGAAGGGGGTTGGAAGAGAAAGCTCTCTAGACCACATACACCCTACAGGGCTGGTGGGATTGCCATAAGTATGGCCATACTGTTGGCAGAATTGCCGCACGATGACTGATAGCGGGCCTCTCTGCATACCCTTTCCCACCCTCTTGCGCATCTCCTTCCTCGCCCTCTTCCCCCCCGTGACTGGTCCTACCCCTCCCTTTCTTCCTCTTTCGCTCTCTATATCCTCTCTTCCCTTTGCCTCGTCCCCTCCCCTCTCAACTCCCTGTCTTGTCCTTCTCCGTCTCCTTCCGCCTTCCCTGTCCCTTCACCTTCCCCTTCCGCCTTCCACGTGCCCAATTCTCCTGGCCTCGTTCCCTCCTTTTCGGGGGAGTTGGATGGTGCGTCCAGTGGGGGCCTCCCAGCGGCACAGGAGGCCTTCTGCGCAGTTGCCGCTTCGCTCCCCCACAGGGCGGCAGAGGTCTTCGCCCTCCTCCTGGCTCTAGCCTTTCCCTCCCTCCCCTCCTCATCCTGCCACCGCTCCTCCTCCTCCTCCTCCTCCTCCTCCTCCTCCTCCTCCTCCGGCCCTCCCCCGATCCCTCCGAGTCCGAGGTCTTCCTCGAGTATGCCGAGGCGCCGCGCGCCGAGGGGCCCAGCACCTCGTGCTCGCTGGCCAGCCTCCGCGGGGCGACGGGCGGCTTCCTCCCGCCGTGCGGCTGGCAGCGGCTGTGGCGCATCACGTGCGCCGGGCAGGCCCTGTGGGACCGCGGGCTCCGCGTCTGCTGGCCGCCCGTGCCGGCGCCCGGCGCTGCGGCCCCGCCCCGCGCCGCCCGCCGCGAGGGCGAGCGGGAGCCGGGCGAGCTCGCCTGCTGCTTGCGCGGGCTGCCCGCCATGGTGCTCGCGCGCGTGGTGCTGTGCTGCGACATCTCCTCGCTCCTGCGCCTGGTCTCGGCCCTGCCGCCGCTCGGCCTGCTCGGCGCCGGCGCCGAGGTGGCGCAGGCGATGCCGCGGCCGCCCGCGCCCCGGCGGCAGGCGGGCAGGCGAGCGGCGTGGTCGTGGCTGTCCTTTGCCCGTGCTTCACTTCGGTGGGCCGAGATTTGGGCCGCCGTGGAGACGACCGCCCTGCCGCGGACGCTGCGGCCGCGCGGCGGCCACCGGCCAAGCTGCGAGGAGCCCCCAAGCCCGGCGGGCGTGCCCTGCGCGGCAGGCCGCTCGAGCCGCTCGGGGGTCGCCCGCGTGGCAGACCAGGCCTTCGCGGCGGCCAGCTGCTCGGGTGCGCCGCAGCTGCTCGCGACGGGGCACCGACGGTGCGTTCGGCTGTGGCACTTGCCAGAGCCGGGCAGCCCGCCGCACGAGGCCGAGAGGCTTGGGTGTCTGCGCCTACGCGGCGCCGTGTGGGCGCTGGACGTGGGCGAGGGGGGGCGCCTGCTGGCGGCCGTCTGCGAGCCCGAGAGGGGCCAGGCCGCGGCGGCGCTCGGCGTGTGGGACCTCACGCAGGACCTCGCGAGCGCCAGACCCTTGTGGCAGGCGCCGCTCCCGGACGCCGTCGGCATCGCCTTCAGCGGACCTCTGCTGGCAGTGGGGCTGGGGCGCTCGGTGGCCTTTCTCTGCAGCCGCACAGGCCAGCGCAGGGCCGCGGCAGACCTGGCAGCCCCAGCGCGCGTCCACTGCCGCGCCGGCGGGGGCACCGCCGTCCTGCTGAGCGCGGGCTGCCGGCTCTGGGCGGCCACGGCCCGCGAGGAGGGCCCTCGGGGTGGCCCCTCGACGGCGACGCTCGCGCCGTTCGACGACAGGGCTGGCGGCGCGTGCCCCGCCTTTGTCGCCGCGAGCGCGTCCCGCGCCGAGGCGGTGGCGGCGACCTCCTGTGGGCAGGTGTCGGTCTGGCGCCTGGAAGACAGGTCGCTGCTGGCGGTGATGGACGCCTTCGCCAGCGTCGCCGCCAGCATGGCCGAGCAGCTCTCCTGGGCCACAAGCTCGGCGGTGGACCTGTCGCTGGAGGCCCGCCGGTCCTCGTCTTGAGATTTGTGATGGGTTGCGTTCGGGTCCTCAAGGCGTGCTCCCAGTAGCTGTCCCGGGGTGCGTTCTGGCAAGAATTTCGAGGGAGTCCAGCCGTGGGCGCGTCGCGCTTCCCGGCTGGCCCGCGGGTTAGCATCGCGCCTCTCCCTTCTCCCTCCGTCCACCGCTTCCCCCTCAAGCAGTGGCGAGGCGTCATGACTTGCCTATAGGCCCTGCAAAGAGTGTTCGCAGATCTTTGATTGTGTTCTGCACGAGATTTTCTTATACCGTTTCTGGTTGAGACCGTCTTCTTCAAATCGTTCGGATATATTTTCGAACATGTTTTTTGTTTGTGTTGCTATTTTTTCTCTCTTTGACATGTTTCGATCTGAGACCATGTCGTGGTAGGCCTATAAGAATGCTTGGGCGGTCGGCCCCCGCCCCCCTGTGCCCCGAACAAAATCAGATTTCGGGGAGCTCCCCAGCGAGCCCCATGATGAACAAATCGCTTCTCCCCCCCTGCCCCCCCCCGAACAAAGTCAAACCTCGGAGAATCTAGGCCACCCAGATGGGGGCAGAGTAGATGTGGTCAGAGGATCGCCCCGCATCGCCAATGAATCGGCGATGCGACTCGATGCGGAGCCCGATGCTATCCGCGCCGCCGTCGCCGATGCATCGCCGACGTCGCTGATGCATCGGTGATGCATCGGTGATGCATCGACGGTGCGGCGCGACCCTCCGACCACATCTGCTCCGACCCCACCTGGGAGGCCTCTCTAGAGAGGTGGTGAGCGTGCTCGCGGCGGACGAGGTCGTCGTGTGCACGGTCGCGGTGGGCGCGTCCGGTCCAGCGGCGGCCGGCGGGGCCGCCCACGCGCTGGTGGCGCTCCACGCCGTCACGGGCGCGCCGCTGCCGCACCCGTGGCACCGGGCGTCCAGGACTTGAGCCATGTTCGGTGCCGCCCTCCCTCCTCCCCCCCCTCCTCTCCCTCCTCCTCCTCCTCCTCCTCCTCCTCCTCCTCCTCCTCCTCCTCCACCTCATCCCTGGCAGAGCATCGGCGGATGCATGTGTGTGTGTGTGTGTGTGTTCACAAACAAGAAAGCAGCAGGACAAGAAAAACATCCTCCTCCTCTTCCTCCTTCTCCTCCGTCTCCTCCTCTTCTTCCTCCTTCTCCTCCTCTTTCTCTTCCTCCTCCTCCTCCTCCTCCTCTCCCCCCTCCCCCCCTCCCCCTCCCGTCCCCCTCCTTCTCCCCTCCTTCTCCTCCTCCTCCTCCTCCTCCTCCTCCTCCTCTTCCTTCTCCTCTTCTCCTCTTCTCCTCTCTCCTCCTCCTCCTCCTCCTCCTCCTCCTCCTCCTCCTCCTCCTCCTCCTCCTCCTCCCCCTCCTTCCCATCCTCCCCCTCCTCCCCCTCCTTTCGCCCTCCTTTCGCCAGAATAACCTTTGGTGCGGGCCTACTGGGGTCCCCGATCGCTGAACGCGAAGCGTTAGCTGTTGGCCACCCCGCGTCCCCCGTTAGGCCGCGCACCAAAGGTCATTCTTGCCTAGGGTCGCTCCTGCGAGTAGCCGGCTGGGTGGTGGGCCCCGGCATGTTCGGGGCCGCCCATAAATCTAGGTCTCCCACATGGGGCGTTCCAGAAAGGGTTTCTTCTTCGAGGATCAAAGGAGTAGGCATCTCTTTCTCGGCGGATGGCGGGAGAAGGGCGGCGGAAGGCGGCGGAGTAAAACGAGGCCTCCACCAAGCTGGGTCGCAATTCCCAGCCCGACCGTGCGCAATGGCTTCCGTGCACCGTCCGTCATCGCCGTCACAGTATCTATCAGCGCCTCGACCACCCAGTACAAGAACCAACATGATTTTGCGATCACCGAGGGCAGCCATGTCTTCGCCTACGGCCGTGGGCACCTTCGTCCTTGCAGCCGTGGCCAATCACGTCTTTGCCGCTGTGGACAACCACGCCTTCGGTTTCGCAACTGAGTGAGTAAGTTCTTGGTCGAGTACACTTTTGGGCATTACGGCTGCGACGATGGTATTGTGCACCCCTATTTGCTGTTCCGCGTCGGTAAAGTGAGCGCTGACCAGCAGTCCGATTGGACTGAGCTTCCACGTGCCGTGAACCAAAGGACTTCGAGGCGCAGTGCCCTCGGTGGGCACTGCGCGCGGTGCGTTTTTGGAGGTGGCTGTCGTGCCCCCCAGTTGCCGTCGTCGCTTCGCCAGGGGCATCCTGACAGGTGACGCGCGCGCTGACTTTCCAGCTCTCGCTGTGGGGCACTCCCGCATTCACGACGAATCCATTTTTTTTAATCCCCCCCAAAATAAAACAATCACGACGAATCCATTCTTTCTGATGATCGGCCGACCTCAGGCTGTCGAACAGGCTCTGCATGGCAACAGGCTGCCGCGCCTCTGCGCCTCGGGCACAGCGCAGGGGCGCAGGGCACCTCCCGCGACGTACCTCTGCTGGCATGGGGAAGCCACAGACCGTGTGCAGTGACCGCTCGGGGCCCCCCGCCCTGGGAGGGTGTGCCTCCGGCCTGCCCCTCCCATTCCTCCTCCTCCTCCTCCTCCTCCTCCTCCTCCTCCCTCCTCCTCCTCCTTCCTCCTCCTCCTCCTCCTCCTTCCTCCTCCTCCTCTCCTCCTCCTCCTCCTCCCCTCCTCCTCCTCCTCCCCTCCCTTCCTCCTCCTCCCTCCTCCTCCTCCTCCTCCTCCTCCTCCTCCTCCTCCTCCTCCTCCTCCTCCTCCTCCTCCTCCTCCTCCCCCCCTCCTCCTCCTCCTCCTCCTCCTCCTCCTCCTCCTCCTCCTCCTCCTCCTCCTCCTCCTCCTCCTCCTCCTCCTCCTCCTCCTCCTCCTCCTCCTCCTGCTGCTGGCAGGGGAAAGCCACAGACCGTGTGCAGTGACCGCTCGGGGCCCTCCGCCCTGGGAGGGTGCGCCTCCGGCCGCCCTGCCCCCTCACCAGCCACGAGCTTATCCCAAATCCCTGAGATTGACACGCCAGAAGGCGATGACAGTCTTGGGGATGCACCCTCGGAAGCTGAGGGTGCACCCCTAGGATCGCCATCGTGATGAGGCGATGCCGAACATGGGGGTAGGGATAGGTTCCAGGCTGGTACGCCCCCTCGGCGTCCTTCTTCTCCCGCGCGGCAAGACTCAAGGCTGGCCTTTTGGTCGGTTCTGGGGCTGCCCCGAGTGCCGCCGACCAGCCAAGGTTGGGTAACAACAATTACGCTCCGTCGTCGGCCGCCTGGTCAGGACAGGGTTCCTCCTTCGCCTTCGCCCGTCGGCGCTAGCGAGTCTCGACGTGATGTGCAGGTCGCTGTTTCTTCGGCTTGCTGGATGGCCGCCCATCGAAGAAAACAACAGCGCCATGAACATAAACTTTTGGCGCTCCGCGCGGATTTCTTGGATCCGCGCAGGGCCCCCCAGGCGGCGCCTACGGCGCCGCCCCTGGCGCGCTGCGCGCGCCAGGGAGGGGGGTCCAGCGCAGATCCAAGAAATCCGCGCGGAGCGCCAAACGTTTACGTTTATGGCGTTTTTCCTTCTTCCAGCCCGCGCTCCCGAGGGGGCAATGGGCGAGTCTCCTGCAGTGCCGCTTCCGCAGGGGCGGGGGCGCGTAGGGGCGGGAATGGGGGTCCGCAAGGCAATCACTTTCGTGACCCAGCTCTGCCCTCCCCGCTACGTAGCCTCCGAGGGCCACCATTCTCGAAGCCACATCGTGCGCCGCATGTCGTTTGATTTTTACCCGAGGCCCCTCACGAAGCGTCCGTCCTGAAGGTGCACTGGGCGCATGCAGTGGAAAGAAACGGGAAGGCGGGCGGAATTTTGCGGAAGTGGAAGATGCGCTCCCAAAAGATGGCGGTGTTTTTGGGTTCCGGGTGTCTGGATTCGGCCACATGGAATCGGAGTAGATGGGGTCGGAGGATCGCGCTGCACCGCCGATGCATCGGCGAGGCGGCTCGTTGTGGAAGCCTTTGTCACGCCGACGGCGCCGATGCATCGCTGGCGTCCCCGATGCATCACCGATGCATCGGCGATGTGGCGCGATCCTACGACCCCATCTACTCGGACCCCACGTTTTCAGGCTCTACTGACAGAGGGGTTGAGGACTAAAGGTGGGGACTTCGGAGCCGATCTCGCTTCCTGGGCTCGATCCCCGCAAGCGCGACCCGAGCCGCGGTATCCAGGATGCGTGTGCAAGTTGAATGGCAGAACTCCCGACGCGCGCGGCCTGGGTATGATGACCTGTGTTGCGCACGGCTCAGGGGCGTGAGCTCCAGGGGTTGGACATCCTGGCCAGGGCCATGGCGTCTCCCGGATTTCATGGCCCCATGTTTTGTTGCACGTCCCCTGCCCCCCCCCCCTGTCGCCCGCGGACATGCCGGCCCCCACCGGGGGCACCCAGCCTGACATCTTCGCGTCGCCACGAATCGCGAAAGAAGGTTCTGCGCCGTTTTCGGCTAAGGGGACTCTTATCGGGCTCCAGGGCCGTTGATGCACGAGGGATGACGAGGTGGCCCCCGGGAACCGGTCTAGACTTGCATGCGCGAGGCCGCGACGGGGAGACTCGCCGTCCGCAAGGAGGAGGAGGAGGAGGAGGAGGAGGAGGAGGAGGAGGATGAGGAGGATGAGGAGGAGGAGGAGGAGGGGGAGGAGGAGGAGGAGGAGGAGGAAGAGGAGGAGGAGGAGGAGGAGGAGGAGGAGGAGGAGGAGGAAGAAGAGGAGGAGGAGGAGGAGGAGGAGGAGGAGGAGGAGGAGGACCAGTGTAAACTCAAGGCTCATCAACGATGTTGGCAGAAACCCTCCCTCCAAACCTCCTCTTCATAGGCCTCTGCAAATGTTCATTTCCACTGAGGGAATTGCCTCGTTGGGAGGCAACCGTTTGAAGACCCTGAAGCATGTCAAACCACCATTCTCGGGGCTCCAACGCCACCGATCAACCTGACTGTTGCGTCTTGACGATCCTGAATCGTGCCTGAACACCATTCCTGGAACTTCAACGCCGCGGATCAGCGAAACTGTTGTACCCTCACAACCCTGAGTCCTTCCAGAACACCGTTTCCGGTATGCACGTTGACCACGGGAATCCGTGAAACGTTGCAAATCTCAAAATAAGAAGGTGCGCGGCGCTAAGGCGAGAGCCACACACTGAAAACCGCCCGCCCTAAATCCGTGAAGCTTTTGTTAATTTTTAAGACGAGTGTGCGCGGCGCTGAGGCGATAGCCACATTTTGAAAACCACCCGCCCGCCATTTTGTCAATTTTTAACCTTCTGGGTCATAAGTAGTGAAAGTCTCATGCGAAACGCCCGGCCCGCCTTTTCGACCGGCCTTGGGGTGCGACACGGAGAAGTGACTCATAAGGCACAGGAAGGGAGGAGGAGGAGGAGGAGGAGGAGGAGGAGGAGGAGGGGAGGAGGAGGAGGAGGAAGGAGAGGAGGAGGAGGAGAAGAGGAGGAGTAACAGTTTGGGCGAGGAGGAGGGGAGGAGGAAGGAGGAGAGGGGAGGAGGAGGAGAGGAGAGAAGAGAGTAAGGGGGAGGAGGGGTGGAGGAGGAGGAGGGGAGGAGGAGGTGGAGGAGGAGGAGGAGGAGGAGGAGGAGGAGGTGTGAGAGGAAGGAGAGGAGGGAAGGAGGGAGGAGGAGGAGGTGGAGGCGGAGGAGGAGGAGGAGGAGGAGGTGGAGGAGGAGGGGAGGAGGAGGAGGAGGAGGAGGAGGAGGAGGAGGAGGAGGGACAAGGGTGTGCGACATGGTGAGGGGACAGGGTGCAGGAGCAGGAGGACGACCCGGACGGCATCGGACCAAAGCGTCAGGTGAGCTGGGGACGGCAAGCCTCCTGTTTCCTGTTTGCGCTGCCTCTCCCGCGGCCCACCCTGCAGGATCGACGCGCCGGGCGCGGCCGCAGGCGAGGCGGCGCCGGTGCCGGGGGCGAGGTGCTTGAGCCTGCTGGCGTGCGACGGGGGCATGCGCTGGATCGCGGCGAGCCTGAGTGCAGTGGGCGCCGCCGCCGGGCTTCGGCAGACGACCGTCGTCCTGGCCCAGGGAGCCGCCGACCCGAGGCGGGCAAAAAGGGTCCTGCACGGAGAGGCGCTTCGGTGCTCGTTCCGTGGGGCGCGCCCGCGATCCACGCGCAGCGATCCTGGCCAGGCCATGTCTGGGCCCAGGGAGGTCGGTGTAATTTGCGTGAGCGTTGGTTGGCATTTCGGTCGTGCTGTTTGGACGTGGCAATCTCAGGGTGCGAGAGAGAAATGGTGCAGAGCGTGTGCTGTCGGTCCCACGCTGCTTTTCGCATGCGCGGGGCTTCGGCCTGCCGCAACGCTGTGGAGAACGCTCTGTCGAGCTCCGATCATCGTCGGGCCGTCGGAGTCGACGCGCTGCTCTTGGGCAGGAGGCTGGAAGCCCTCGCGTGCCTGGCCTTCGCCTGTCGGCACGCCGCCGGCGCGGGGAACCGGGGCCCGAGAGCCTGCGGGCCGTTGGCGTTTCCTGTGGGCTGGTGCAACGTTTCGGTGGCATATTTGGAGACTGCGTGGTCACCCCCCAGGCCTTCTCGACCAACTGCGTTTTCCCCCCCCCCCCCCCCCCCCACCCCCCCCCCCCCCCCCCGCCGCTCCACCCACCCGTTTTCTTCCAGCTTCATCGTATGCCACTCGGGTGCACCATCAATGGGAGCATCATTGATTTCATTCCTTGGTCCATCCTGTCGCTGCTGGGGTGCTCTGCTGGGATCCTTCGACGCCTGCCCCAGCTGCACGTCTCGACCCTTCTCCCCGGGGGCAGTCTTCAGCCCGATCTGTGATCTGCTTGCTCCCGGGCCCGAGACCCGCCTCCAGGGCACGTCTCGACCCTTCTCCTCCTCCTCCTCCTCCTCCTCCTCCTCTCCTCCTCCTCTCCTCCCGCCTCCTCCTCCTCCTCCTCCTCCTCCTCCTCCTCCTCCTCCTCCTCCCTCCTCCTCCTCCTCCTCCCTCCCTCCTCCCTCCTCCCCCCTCCTCCTCCTCCTCCTCCTCCTCCTCCTCTCTCCCCCTGCCCCCCCTCGACCTGCTCTTCTGCTTGCTCCGAGGCCGGAGGCCCGCCCCCAGAGGCCGACGAGGGCCAAAAGCACCGGCCGTCCATCGGTGCCCTCGAGCCGCCGGGTGCCCGGGCGAGGGGAGGGCCGGCTGCCTCTCTGCGCTGGGGTGTGGTGTTGGGCCCCGGAGCCTTCTCCGCCAGCCTGCAGTCGGGCCTGCCCCTCTCCAGGGGTAATCTTCAAGAACAGTCCAGAAATCGTGTGGGGACGGTTTGTGGACCTTGTTTGGTTCTTTTTGGAGTATTGTTTGGGTATTTTCTTTCTTCGTCCCAAGGCTGCCTGTAGGGGGACATGCCCGACCTAACGCCAGCTGCGCTTCTTCCGAGGCTTTCCCAGGGCGCCCGAGCCGTCCCGAACGGCCACCCGAGGCTCGAGGTGGGGTCACATGGCTGACTCACCTGTCTACTCCTCGTCCTCATCCTTCTCGCCGTTTCATTCCTCGGCTTCTTCCTCCTTGAGGCACTTCACGGCCATGTAGACGCGAGGCCAGCTTGGAACAACATTATATTGGGAGGGTGTCCGTGAGAGGCCAAGCATACAGCTTGCACGACAACGCAGAAGAACCGCAGCATGCGTGGCGCTCGCAGCAACAAACCACAATGATAGTACAACCCCTTCCCAAACCCCTGAAGTGGCGGACGGCGACAGTCGCCGCCAGGGTCTACAGAAGCTTGTGACCTGAATGTGACAACAGCTGTTCTTCTCGCCAGTTTCATGACGGCAGCGAGAATGGAGGCTGTCATGGTTTCCCTGGCTGTTGCAACTACTTCGCTCTTTCGTCAGCTTTGCTCCTTAGCCAGCCTCGCGTCTGAAGATGTTCCGGTCGGTGGAGCAGCTTGCTTGCGGCTGCACCTTCGCTTCCTTCTCCCCCCCCCTCCTCCTATTCTTGCTTGCTGCTTACCCACCTCACCCGTCCCATCCCGTGCCCTTTTGTCCCCTTGTCCACCACGTCCGCCTTCTCTCCCACTCCCCCTCGCCCTCTTTCGGCCACGCGCAGAGGGGGGTGGGGGGAGGGGGGAGGGCTTCTTGGAAGCACCCCTGCTTCTCAGAAGGCGCGGGCCATGTCTACGGATGTACGGCTGGCGCCTTCTGAGAAGCAGCCTCCTTCTGAGAAGCCCTCCCCCCTCCCTCCACCCCCCTGTGCGCGCTGCCAGGTCTCTCTGAGGTTAAGTCGGTCCTGTCCCTCTACAGGGGGCATATTCAAAAATAGTCAAAAAAACAGTCTGGGGACTGTTCTTGGAGTATTTTCTGCATTTTGGAATATTTTTTTCAATATTTTTTATTTTTCGTCGAACATCCCCCTGTAGGGGGACACGCCCGACTGAACTCTGAGGCCCTCCTGCGCTGCGGACCCCGCCGCTGCGGCTGCCGCCGCTCGGCCCCGGAGAGGTCGAGCTCGCGAGGGCCGAGCGCGCGGAGGCCGCGGAGAGCCGGCTGCGGACGCTGCGCGGCGTGGACCCGAGGGACCAGGCATGGTCGCCGGCCGCCGCCAGGGGGCCTGCCCGACCACGGGGGGGCGCCCACGAGGCGGGCTGAGGGGCAGATTTTTTACCACCGCTGCCAGATGTGGGGCGAGGAGGTCGTCGTCCTCCTCCTCCTCCTCCTCCTCCTCCTCCTCCTCCTCCTCCCCCTAACTGTTATTCCTCCTCCTCCTCCTCCTCCTCCTCCTCCTCCTCCCTCTCCTGCGTACGGTAGTGGTGGTGGAGAATGGGCCCCGCACGGGTGAGGTTTAGGAGGGTCTGGATGCCAAGGCCGGGGCCATGGAAGCTCCCCAGACTTCATTCGGGGGGACCCCGTATTGGAAAATGGAAAAATCACGACATCGGATCTCTGGGTTTATGAGGGTCTGGATGCCAAGGCCGGAGCCATGGAAGCTCCCCGGACTTCACTCGGGGGGTCGTAGAGGGAGGGCTATCCCAAGGTGGGGCCGGGGGACGAGCCCACCCAGATGCTCCTGTTTGACGCGTTTCCTCCTTCAGGGGCCGTCCAGAGCGGTCTTTCCTCCAGCCCCACCTCTGTGCCCCCCCCCCCTCCGGTTCATGGCCAAGGTGTTCCTTGGCCCCCCCCCCTCGTCCGCGCACGTGCCTCGGGCCATGGCGTGCGCGCGGTCCCCCCCCCCCCGGTTTCTCGGTCCCCGCCCCTCTTCGGCGTGCCCGAGACGGACACTGCCAGAGCCCCTGCAGCAGCCTCCTGTCGGCGGCGAGCGAGGGGGGGAAATGAGATGGAGACGGGCTTCTCAGAAGGCGGCGGGCCTTCTAAGAAGCCCTCGCGCCTTCTGAGAAGTTGTTTTCTGTCTTCGGGGAAGGCTTAGAAAAAATCTCAGAAGGCTGGGGGACTTCTGAGCCTTCTCAGAAGGCCTTCTCCTTCTCATTTCCCCCCCTCGCTCGCCGCCGAGATTGTGCTGCCTCTGGAGGAGAGCCTGAGCAGTCTATGAGGCATATGCGGGCTGTCGGCAAAGGCAGTTCCCAGGCAGCCGCAGGAAGTCTACGAGAATCCTGGCTGCACGCAGAGGGCAGTGTAGATGTGTGTGAGAAGCAAGTTCCAGGCACGACCGAGGCAATATGAAGGCAATGCGCAGATGAATATGCGTTGCAAGCAGTTGGCAAGCGATCTGCAAGCAAAACTCGAATCAAATCATGCCAGCAGCAAGCTAACTGCCAGTCAGCCTTGTTCAGCTAACGGTCCCGCAGTATCTCATTGTCCGTTTGTTTTTGTTTGTCATCTCCATCTCTCTCTATATCTAGCAGATGCTGTGTCTCCTGCTTCTCCTGATCCTCACCCTTGGCCAACCTCCTCCTCTCCTCCTCTCGCCTTATCCCCTCCTCGCTCTCGTCGCCCTCTTCCTCGCTCGCCCTTCATGTGCTCGCTGCTCCTGCTGCCAGACATGCGCCCCAGCTGGCGGTTCTTGCTCCTATGGCTGCGCCGCGAGAGGCCCCCCCCTGGCCTTCTGCCCCTCCTCTTCCCTTCTCCCTCTTTATTTCCATCCCCGCGCTCCTGCTTTCGGACGAGGGGGAGGGAGGAGGGAGGAAGGAAAGGAGGAGGCGGAGGAGGCGGAGGAGGAGGCGGAGGAGGCGGAGGAGGAGAAGGAGGAGGAGGAGGAGGATGAGGGAGAAGGCGCAGGAGTAGAGGAAGGGTGCACGATGCGGAGAACCAGGAGGGAAGAGGATGGATGGAGCAGGAGGCGGAGGACGACGACGATGAGGAGAACGATGTGCAGGGGGAGAAGGAGAACGAGGGGGATTGTGAGAAGGATGTAGGAGGTATGAGGAAGGAATGGGTGAGGGAGGAGGAGGAGGCGGAGGAGGAGGATGGATGAGGAGGGAGGAGGAGGAGGAGGGAGGAGCATCCAGTAGGCTCTGTGGCGTTTGCTTGGCAACGAGCTCACATGCTGTGCCGCGTCTGTGGCGCTTTGCCTCGCCTGCCAGTGGCGCGCCTCTCTCCCTCTGTTTCCCCTCTTCCCCCTCCACCATTACTCAACATGAGGTCAGCTCCTTCTATCCCTCTTTCTCTCTCCCTCTCCTTTTCTTCTCTCTCTTTCTTTCTTTCTTTCTCTCTCTCTCTTTTTCTCTCTCCCTTTTCTGTCTCACTCTCTCTCTCTCTCACTCTCTTACGCCTCCTCTCTCCCCAGATGCTCTCCAGTGTAGCAGCCCCCCCCCGCGGGTGCAGCTGTGCCCCCGCCTCCAGAGCGGGTTTCCGACCTGCGCGCCGCCCGGGAGGGCCGACGCTTGTCGTCGTTGTTGTTGTCGTCGTCGTCGTCGTCGTCGTCGTCGTCGTCGTCGTCGTCGTCGTCGTCGTCGTCGTCGTCATCAATTCATGTTTGGCGTCGCCGTCCATCTCCTTCTCCTCTTCCTCCTCGCCCTGGTCCCTCTCATTCCCCTCCTCCATCCTTTCGCCTCCCCCCTGGCCACCCGCGCGCCGAACATTTCATTCAAGCGTCAAGGTCTCTCAGGATGCCAGATGTGGCGAGAGCGCGCACATCTTGACTTCCCCTCTCCCTCCTCCCCCCCTGCCCTCCTCCTCCCATCGACCTTTCCTGGAGCACGGGGAGGAGGATTGGAGAGACAGACAAAGAAGTTGATGGTGATGTTGGCGATGGTGGTGGTGGTGACACTGCGGATCTGGATGATGGCGGTGACGAAGGCGACGAGGATAATGCTGATGATGCCGACGACGCTGCTGATTTGGATGCTGACGAGGACGACGGCGACGGCGACTTTGATGATGCTGGTGATGACGATGGCGTCGGCGATGATGGCGGCGACGACGACGATATCACTAATGATGATGATGATGATGATGATGATGATGATGATGATGATGATGATGATGATGATGATGATGATGATGATGATGATGATGATGCTGGTGATGATGATGATGCTGGTGATGATGATGATGCTGATGGTGCTGATGGTGATGATGTCGGCGATGATGATGATACTGCTGATGATGATGTTGATGATCATGATGATACTGATGAGGCTGCTGCTGTTGTTGTTATCATTATCTTTATTGGTGTTGTTGCTGCTGGTGGTGACGACGATGTTGCTGATGCTGAGGATGCTGCTGCTGATGATGATGCCGCTGCTGATGAGGATGACGACAATGATGATGATGCTGCTGCTGCTGATGATGATGATGATACTGATGGTGATGCTGATGATGCTGATGCTGATGATGATGATGCCGATTCTGATGATGCTGATGATGCTGCTGATGACGATGCTGATATTGACGACGATGCTGTTGATGATGATGCTGATGACGACGTTGTTGTTGATGATGATGATGATGAGGAGGAGGAGGAGGATGATGATGATGATGATGATGGTGACGGCGATGTTGATGGTGTTGGCGGTGATGGTGGTGGTGGTGATGATGATGCTGATGATGATGCCGATGATGTTGATAATGATGGTGACGATCATGGGGATGTTGGTCGTGATGCTGATGGTGAGTGGTGGCGACGACGGGAGTCCCCCCCCTCATTTCTTAGCGGCGCGCAAGAGGGGGCAGAATGGGGGGGAGGTTCTGAGCATGGTACGCCCAGTAATCAGGGTACGGTGCTCAGTTTTTTCGCACGGGTCGATCCCCTCTGAGAGACAACCCTAGCTTCTTGGAAGGATGCTCCTTGTCACCACGTGCAGTATCTTTTCATCGTCGCAAGCCCGGCCGCGACGCTTGGGAGTCGCGTTCGCCGCCTGCTGCTGCTCCTGCGACGGTTGCGCATGCCAGTATCCTCCTGCCTTCTTTTACTGCTTCTTCTCCTTGCCTCCTGCTCCTCCTCCTCCCTCTTGTTTTGGGCACGCTTCGTGCCTGACTCCCGTCCCCACGCTGGCCTTCCTGCCGCGCGGCGCGCGCCGCCTGTCCTGGCGCTCGCCGCCCCACCTGTGGGCCCACAGGTGGGGCGTTCTCCTCCCCGTTCGCTCTCCCGCCCCCCTGCTCGCTCCTGCTCGCTCCTGCTCCCTCCTCCTCCTCCTCCTCCTCCTCCTTCTCCTCCTCCTCCTCCATCCCTCCTCCTCCCCCCTTCCTCCTCCCCCTCCTCCTCCTCCTCCTCCTCCTCCTCCTCCTCCTCCTTTTCCTCCTCCTCCTCCTCCTCCTCCTCCTCCTCTCTCCCTCCCTCACGCGCCGCCATGGCGCTGCCGGACCCACGCTGTCGCCGCCCTTGGCTGCCAGCAGCCGGCGCCCACGCCTGCCCCAGGCCTGGTCTTGCCGCCCGCCGCCGGTGCCGCAGCCTCGACTGGCGCCCGGCGCCGCCCGCACCCGCTCCGGGGTTGGGCAGGCATCTGGCTATGCTGCTGTTCGTCACGCGCCCTTTCACCCGGGATTTCCATCCCCGCACTGGGCCCCGCCGCCGCCTGGCTCGCTGACGCAGCAGCCGCCGCGGGCTCGCCGGCGGGGCTGGCCGCGCCGCTCGTTCGGCGAGCGGTCCGTCCCTCCCTGAGCCGCTCGCTCCGTACGCCCCTCTGTCGGCCGAGCCCTCCCACCGCTCCCCCTCTTGCATGGTGGCACGATTCGCTCTAAGGGCGTCACCGCCGTTGAGGCATCCCATCGCCAGCGCAGGTGTCCCCTGCCTAGCCGCCGACGCAAAAGTTTTGGGCACGCTCGACCTCCTCCTTCCTCTTGCCCCTTCCTCCTCCTCCTCCTCCTCCTCCTCCTCCTCCTCCTCCCCCTCCTCCTCCTCCTCCTCCTCCTCCTCATCCTCCTCCTCTTTCCCCCCCCTGCTGTTCTCCCTCCCCTTCCTCGTCCTTCCCGGCAAAGGCGTCCCGCGACGAGGAGCTCTGGGCCAGGTGGCTGCGTCTCTACGGCGGGCCCGGGGAGGGGCCAGGGGCGAGGGAGGGGATCGTGGGCCCACCAGTCTGAGACGCAGTCGTATGGCTATGATCGGCATCGCCTCATCCAACAAACAAAATAAGCTCGGAGCTGGTCATGGGCCCGCTGCCAGGGGCAGGGTCGGCTGCGCGCCGCCGGGGGCGCGCCTCCTCGATCGGCGGCAGGGGCTTCGGAGTCCGTTGCCATCGATCGGACGTGTGCACTTTTTCTCAGACGAGGGCCATCGAGGAACATCCAGCCCGCAGGCTCCCCAGAGGCCCCAGAACGGCCCCGCTTCGCCCGTCCGCAGCGTGCAGTCCAGAAGCACAGTCGCACAGACAAAGCCCTCGGGTGACCATAGCGATTGCCGAGCATTTCTTTGGGTGGAGGGCAAAGGGTGAAATCCGAAATGCTGTTTCGATGAATTTTCGAGGCTTGAATCTGCAAAAGGTGAATCAAAAGACGGATTGATCGTCGAGGTGCCAAAGCCCATTTGGATTTCACCCTGAGCCCTCCACCCTAAGAGAATTCTCAGGATTGGCACGAGCTTCCATGACATCCCGTCGCACAGCCACGAGCGGCCCACTTCGGCCCCCCCAAATGGGATCACACAGCGCGGGAAGGCACAATGCTCTAAGGTCGGGGCTCGTGGCTCTATCAGGTTGTCTCGACGAGAACCATCGAACAGCATCCTGGATCATCTTGCGAAGAAGTAATGTCAAGCAGTGGCGAAGCGTCCTGGCTCGCCTATAGCCCTACCAAGCAATGTTCTAAGAACCTTGTGTGGTTTCCACGAACTTGATGTCTTGTTTCAACACATCGGGCTTATGCTCTAAAAACATTGTTTTTGTTCTTAGAGCATTTGCGGGTTCTAAGAACATGTCGTGGTAGGGCTACAGGAGTGCTGGGACGGTCGGTCCCTGCTCAATAATGGCACCTCGCCGAAACATGAGCGGGGAATGGACGCCCGAGCGAT